GTAGTTGATGATGATGATAGTGATGGGGGGGATCTATGCTCTCCGCTTTTATTCCCCTTACTGTAACTTAGTAGTTTTTTACTCTCTTTTTTTTCTACTTATTTTGGCCTGTCCGGACCAGTTGGTATCTCTGCACTTAGAAAGCAATGTAATTATATACTATAAGAAAAAAAATGAAAATATGAGATAGATATTTTTGAAATATTCCAGTACTTTATTTTTCAATACAGGAACTAAGCAACTGAAGCCTTCAAAATCTGACACTCTGACATTCTGCGTTTGTTCTTTCTATTATTGCTTATCGGCAACAGTTGCTTATCGCTTGTTTCATTAGAGATGATGATATCGGATCGAAGTATTGTTGGTACATTCCTATTTATTATTGATCTGATGCTTACATGTTTACTCAAAATTTTGTCGAAATTGACGCATATCCGTAGCGATAGGTATACCACAAAGAGAATTTCAATATTTCAACGCTTTTAAAAGAAAATAGACTTCAATATATATTTACCTCGATCAATGGATAAAAATCATTACAGGAGATAAAATAAAAATGTAAACGGGTTTTGTAATTTTCCTTATAAAATTCGAAATGCGTCAAAATGACGCGTCCCGTAAACCTACCGTTAATCGCATTTTTTAAACTAAAGCATAAGGATTTAAGTAACAATTCGCTACCATTTGGAAAGATTTTCCTGCTAACACGGAAAAATTGGCAGTTGTATGTAAGCAGTGTTGCCAACTTTCTACGCTTTTTGTAAATATTTATTCTAATGGTAGCTATGTATATGTCGTAATGTATTATTTTTCATTCATTTATACTTATTTTCCACACCAACCCTTCAAAATGGTTCAAAAGTTCATACGAAACACCACTTCGCCCTAGCCTCTCGGGGTGAGGCTAATAAAAACTGGACAAAATTGCCTACTATTCTAAATTTTAGGTTTTTGTCTACCACTCGCTAAGGTATTTTGCAAAAAGTGTATAGTACTTAGCAGCCCTATGTTAACAGAGCTACCAATTGGGAAGCGATTTTCCAATCCAGCAGCCTTTATAGCCCGCTGTTTGGCTTACATCATGATTGCGACCAACTGACAGTCAATAGAAAACTCTCTATCGAAAAAAAAACAGAACTTTTTTGTCCTCAAATGGTGTAATGTAAAATCCTCAAATGGTGTNTTTATCATGCCATACCTGCCAACTTTTAATCCCTTCCATTATCATTTTTCCCAGTGGTATTAAAATGGAACTTTTGTAAGCTTACTTTTTGTAAGAATAGTGGTGATCAAAATCATTTAATAATTAAGTTTATAAAAGAAGAAATAGTATATAATTACTACCACTTTAAATATAAAAATAGAATCTTCCGGAAAATCCGGAAGAGTTGGCAGGTATGTCATGCCATATCTGAAAAGAGTGGTGAATTATGTAAGCCTACGAATTGTTTAGAAATAGTGGTGAATAAAAATCTACTAAATTGAATTTTTTAAACCAAGAATCACAATTAATAAACTACCAGTAGAAAATACTTATTCGCTGTCCGGAGCAAGTTGGCATCTCTGTGATATATAAGGAAAACTATTTTTGTGTCTTCTATTTTGCATTAATTTTTTCAAACCATTTTATCGATAATAATATAAAAAATTAAAAATTTACTCAAATTATGTGTTTCTAATAATCTTGGCTTCGCCGGTCACCGGTGACCCACGTGGCGCTACGAACAAATTCAGTGCCAGTCACCGGTGACCCCCATGCCCATCGTGTTAAAGATATTTTTGTACAATTCAGCTAACATTTAAAACTTCCCCGAATGATAATCGTTTTTTTTTTAAATATGGTTGGGTATATATATGCCACTATGGTTAAGATCCTTTTACCACTAGGTTTACGGACGTTTCTTATATATCTATCTCTACGAACACGCGTCAATTTGACGCATTAACGAATACATATAACAGCACTTACAGAGATGCCAACTTTCTCCGGAAAGCAAATATATATTTTAAGTGGTAGTTTATCAACTGTGATTCTTGGTTTAGTAAATTCAATTTAGAAAATTTTTTTCGACCACTATTTCTAAATAATTCGTAGGCTTATATATCACCACTTTACATCTACAAAAATGAGTTACATACCTGCCAACTTTTAATCCCTTCCATTATCATTTTTCCCAGTGGTATTAAAATGGAATTAAAACTTCAATTTTAATCAAACAAATACGTTGTATTTGAGAAAACTTGAGTTGACAACCATGAGTAGTAACGCATATTAATATATCTGCTTAATTTTTGTAAGAATAGTGGTGATTAAAATCATTAAAAAATTAAGTTTATAAAAGAAAAATAGTATATATTTACTACCACTTTAAATATGAAAATTAAATCTTCCGGAAAATCCGGAAGACTAGACTAGACTAGATATATTGTTATTTAAAGTGCCTGCCCGCGAAGCGGGCATCTGACTTTTTCATCTCTTAGTGTGTGCCCTTGGGCGACTATGACTTTTGGCTTTGGTGAGAATCCGGAAGAGTTGGCAGGTATGGAGTTAGTAGTTGATGATGATGATAGTGATGGGGGGGATCTATGCTCTCCGCTTTTATCCCCCTTGCTGTAACTTAGTAGTTATTTATCTTTTTTTTCTAATTATTATGGCGTGTCCGGACCAGTTGGTATCTCTGCACTTAGAAAGCAATGTAATTATATACTATAAGAAAAAAATTAAAATATGAGGTAGATATTTATGAAATATTCCAGTACTTTATTTTTCAATACTGGAACTAAGCAACTGAAGCCTTCAAAATCTGACATTCTGCGTTTGTTCTTTCTATTATTACTTATCGGCAACAGTTGCTTATCGCTTGTTTCATTTAAGATGACGATATCGGATCGAAGTATTGTCGGTACATTCCTATTTATTATTGATCTGATGCTTGCATGTTTACTCAAAATTTTGTCGAAATTGACGCATATCCGTAGAGATAGGTATACCACAAAGAGAATTTCAATATTTCAACGCTTTTAAAAGAAAATAGACTTCAATATATATTTACCTCGATCAATGAATAAAAGTCATTACAGGAGATAAAATAAAAATGTAAACGGGTTTTGTAATTTTCCTTACAAAATTCGAAATGCGTCAAAATGACGCGTTCCGTAAACCTACTGCTAATCGCATTTTTTAAACTAAAACATAAGTATTTAAGTAACAATTCGCTACCATTTGGAAAGATTTCCCTGCTAAAACGGAAAAATTCGGAAGCTGTATGTAAGCAGTGCTGCCAACTTTCGACGCTTTTTGTAAATATTTATTATAATGGTAGCTATGTATATGTCGCAATGTATTATTTTTCATTCATTTATACTTATTTTCCACACCACCACTTCAAAATGGTTCAAAAGTTCATACGAAACGCCACTTCGCCCTAGTCTGTCGTGGTGAGGCTTATAAAAACTGGACAAAATCGCCTAGTATTCTAAATTTTAGTTTTTGTTTACCACTCTCTAAGGTATTTTGCAAAAAGCGTAGTAGTTAACAACCCTGTGTTAACAGAACTGCCAATTGGGAAGCGATTTTCCAATCCAGCGACCTTTATAGCCCGCTCTTCTGTTTGGCTTACATCATAATTGCGATCAACTGACAGTCAAGAGAAAACTCTCCAGCGGAGAAAAAAAAAATCAAAGAATCGTTGATGGCCGCTGTTTTGTAATTTACCTACCGGGTAATAGAAACATTCTTTTCCTCAAATGTTGTAATGAGCTTTTTTTCTTTTCTTTTTTGCTTTAATACTGTTGTTTTATGCTCATGCTTTTTCTTCGTTTTATCTAATACTTCTTTATAGCTTTTGAAATTCTTTGTAGAATGTAAAATTCTTCCCCAATTGTATAAGTTAGCATGCATGATTCCCCTTTTCACTTTTTTTTTTTTTAAAGTTACTTACATTTTGGAAGTGGGTCAATTGAAGGACAGTTACTACTGGTGACACTGTTGTTAAAATCATCAATAATTTCTAACAGAGCAGGGGAATCTATTTTGCTTTTTGGTCTGTTGCATTTATCAGCAAGAAAATCAACCTCAGAGAAAACACTTTTGGAGAAGGGCCAAGTGTCTAACTTTTAAAAAAAAATCATCTTATGTTTTGAATGGTAAAAACTTGATAACATGCTGCCATAGAGAGCTCAACATCTTCATGAATAGATTGTTTTTTTTTTATTCGGTATTAGTTAACCAATCAATAAATCCAATCGTAAATGCTTACAGCCAATGGGTGTTACTTATGTGAGCAAAAAGTAGGAAAGTTTAATAATATGGAGGGACAATAGAGGGGTACATGTAAACTGTCTACATCTGCTGAAGGTATAGTGTACACAAGTGCTCCATCATGCATAATATGCAAAAACAAAAATTCTTAATCCAGTAAATATAAATTTACTTGAATGTTCATATAATATTCTGCAATAATTGATTTCAGATTATTAGTTAGCTTAAGCTATGTTTTTACTTGAAGAAATCGTTGATAAAAGTGCAACACCAGGTTAAATAAAGAAATGACTCTATGACTGCTATGGAAGTTTTGTAGAGTAGGTCTGGTACTGCCATTCATTGACAATTTTTACGGGTTTTCTATTTCGGGTTCATAAGGATCCCTTTCCCCTATCAAGAAAATTAATTGAAAATTTTATTGGGAATAATTTAGTTTCCATTATTTGCTAGATAAACATTTAGCACATCGCGAATATAAAGAGTGAAAATTGCTTAGTCATGAAATAAAATCATAAAGACAACTGCTGAAATTAAAAGAAAAAACTGCTCAGTGCCATAGATTTTTATAAAATTAAAAACACTTTGTTTATGGTTCGATAAAGCTTTAACTTAATTAGTCCGCATAAATTAAAAAGTTGAGTAGACCTCTGCGAAGTAATTTAACCAAGAAAATTTTTTTCCTTAGACTTCACATCAAAATAGTTTTTAATACAGAAAATTTTCTTAATCCTTCAAGGATGAGAATACATTTACGAAATCCTGCCGTCTGAATTTCGGGGAAGTCGGCCAAAACTACCCACCTTTGGATGATGAGCAACAATTTGTTGAGTTTAAGGTAGGAATAAATATTTAAAACTCTTTATTTCGCACATATTCTACGAATAAAGCAAAAATGAATCTAAGTTTATCTGGTTGAAGTGGGGGTTGCCAACCTAGTTGATTAAAACCCGAAATCAATACCTGCAATTTATTAACAATGCAAGATTAAGGGCACTAGCACTTAACCTTGAAACAAAACTCATCAGTGTAGAAAAGCCTTTGTCCTTAACTTTAAATGAACATCGATGAAATGAATCCAAATATTGCATGAGACTTAACCCCTTGGGGACGGGTGATTCCCAAAAGCATTCGTTCAAAATTAGAATCAGGATGTAATTAAATAAAAAACGGTAACTTAAATGTAGTCGTTTCTAATTTGACAGACTTATTTTGATTTTACTTTAATTATTATTAGTTTAATCGTATATATAATCAATGTTAATTCAAAGCATAACTAAATAGTTTTATTTTGAACAAAGTAATGGTGAATTAAATAAATCAAAAAATTATANTTTGCTTTTACTTTAATTATTGTTAGTTTAATCATATATATAATCAATGTTAATTCAAAGTATAACTAAATAGTTTTATTTTGGACAAAGTAATGGTGAATTAAATAAATCAAACAATTATAACTCCGCCCACAAATAAACTGCTAAAGAATTACTTTGATTACCAGTTTTATCTTTTTACCCTGGTCGATAAGGTTTTATACTGGCACGTATTTGTGACAGTCGGAGCGAAAGGGTTAGACCTTATTTATAGGGACCAAGTGCTTGAATCAGAGAACTGAATCCAAATTAGAAATGAATCCAAATATTGTACGAGACTTAAGCCCTATTTATAGGGACCAAGTGCTTCAATCAGAGGACTTGGAGGAATTTCTCTGTCCAAGAAATTTTATGATTTATTGAGATGTTACTTATTGGAGAGATGAAAAACCTGAATATGCGCATTGTTCAGACTCAAGATAATAAAAGTCTTACTTGCATGAAGACAAAATTACAAAATAAAATCAAAATAACACAAATAAATCCTAACATATAATTTAATTTAGACTAGAATATATGAAAACTGACATCAAAATGAAATAACCATATACAGAATCCCTGATGTCTTAGAAACAGATTGGTAAAGGTATGTAAAACTTGAATGACAAGTAAAACATGCTCTACTGTCACCCAAGGGTTTGGGCTGAGAACTTGGATGATCAATTACATGATCCAAGTAAAATAAAATTCCATCAATCTCAATAAGAGTCCAAGAACGTAATCATCCAAAAAGGCCTTAAAATGAAAAAGGTTTGGTTAGTTTTAGGCAGACATAGTTTTAGCCAGTTAAAGCTGGAAGCGTCGGACATTTTTGGGGTTTTTATCTACTAGAATAAGTTATTCTTACTTTAACTAGTAAAACCTAGATTTATCTTTTAGTTTTGCTTTATCCATAACATACACATAATATTGAGGTAATACGATATTTCTGGTGTAAGGGAGGAAGCACGTATATCCTTCAACAATTTGCATATGAGACTAGATTCTCTAAACATTTTAATTCCACTCAACTTATGCTTTAGCTTATGTGATATAGAATCTTTGTTGATCAATAAGAACATATTTAGTATAGCTTAAACTCATATTTTTGAGTGTAATTTATTATTTTTTGACTACTCGAAAGAAAAAAAATTAGCAAGAAGAGATAGCATTAAGTATAACCTATTTTTGATCACAAAGCATTTTCTATAGATTTTAAATTGTAGATTTGAATATATTTTTCGAAGGTACTGATGTCATATTCATATAATATGCTATGAAATAGACAAATTTCCATTTTATGGTACACTAAGTTAACTGTCAACCGAGCTTAAGCCAAAACGTAAATATTTTCCTCATAATGCTTCTTTATCATAGCTCTAAATATATTTTATTTTATAACTGTCGTTGAACAGCCGACCACATTTTGGGTTTAAGACTACCAATATGGTAGCACTGAGGATATTTTTCGTCAACACTGTGCGCGGTGTGAGCTGAGTGCGGAATTCGAACCCGGTTCACCTCATTGGAAGTTAAGCGCTCTATCCCCTGAGCCACCAAGACTCAACTCTGCATGTATACAAAAACCGGTTCTGAATCGTACTACGCGGTCTTTTCCTTTCTCAAATATTTTTTTCCCTAATGCGCTTACGATTGACTACTTGTATCAGTAGGGCAGATTTGTTGGCCACTCTTTCAGGGACACCTTATTACGTGGGCCAACGTTGCTCCCACAGTAAGAACAGATAATGAAGGACATCCATGCCTTTTCCATAATTCGAACCCATTACCTTTCTGATATGAGGTCACCTCCCTGATGACCCTTTCTCAAACATGCACAAAACAGAACCGATTGAACCTGTTTTCATGTTTGGAGATCAACCTACTTATAGGGTAAACATAACCCTAACAGTAACGAGGCTCCACCCCATTCGCGTTGTGAATTTTAACATGACTTTTAAATAACTGTAACATGACTATAAGGTTAAGAGTGGTGCATTCTCAGCCAGTGCTCTCTACGTTAATTGCGAAAACGGCGCAGAATGCTTACATGAAAAAAAGCAAATTTTGTGAAAATGAAAAGTTTTTTTCAACACTGCATTGTTCGAGCTCATAAAAATTTACAAAAGTTTAAAATAATTCATTACTTTTAAGTTGGTGGCAATCACCAAATTATTATTATTATTTTTAATTATTCAAGCTATTTGTTCATTTTAAAACTTAGATCATTCTTTTCAAAAAGAATAGTATATATGATTAGATATTAAAGTTTTGCTTCCATTTTAAAAGTTTAAGAGAGTCAAACTGGGGTTTTATCCTATTCCTTGTCAAATATGCTATCGAGAATATCATTAAATATTTTATTTATTAAATTTACTTAAAGGGCTAAGTTATTCCCAAGAAAAGTTTATCCTATGAGAAGAAATGGATAGTAAAAATCCCAGTGACGCTATTTCAATATACAAGATGTCTGGTTCAAAGCTTATATCATACGGAGAATTTTTTATGTTATTTCCTTATTCTTTTAAAGTTTTCCCCCGTTTAGTGTTTGTAATTTTTAATTATTTGTTTAAATAAAAAAATTTTAATGATAAATAAAAATACATATGAATTGTAAAAATTCAGTGGGAAATTAATGCAACTCTTGATTGGCGATCGAAATGGGCTGCAGGTGGCGTAGAGCAGAACTTATGGCAACACTTCACATGCTTTCACCATTGAGCGTGTGGAGAGTCATAGAGGAAGGAAGTACGCTAGTTTCTGTCTTGATTTTCATGCAGATTAAAATCTTTTAATTTTTAAAACTATATGGAACTGAAAATTACATTAAACATAGTTCTAAAGAAAAGCATCATGGAAATTTTAAAAAATATTTTCATTACATAAAAAGGAAAAATATCGTAGTACATTCCTATACAACTAAAAAGAGGAGGAGAGGGAAGGGAGAAAGGCCAAAGGCATGAAACCGGTCTATCCCTAGATGGCATATTCGAGCATTGCGATCGCCTATAGTTAATTAACTTATTTCACTAGAGAATTTATTATGATCATTTTTTATGGCAAAAATTAGACCTAAACCAACTTTCGAAAAATATATAATTATTATCGACCAAAGGGATGAAGTTTTTTTTATGAGGATAATTTCGTAATGATCAGAACAACTGAAAATTTGAAGGCGCAAAGTCTTGTAATTGACAGTTGATGGCACAGAAAATCTTAACCGAGGCCCAAGAACAATTGGCAAAGACTTGATTCGATATTTCTGGATGCTTTTGATAAATTACTGTATACATCCATCTAATTGGGAACAACGCTTTTCCTCACTGTCTTATAGAACTTGTACACAGATTATTTGGTTTCAAATTATTCTGAATCAATCAGACCAATCCATACGCCACTTTCGAATAATCGGCACGAATTTTTAGGAGAATGTAATATCTTGTTGAATTTAAGCATGTTTCACTGTGCTACATAATAATTTATTTTTTATTAGATGCTTAACAGTTCCTTACGTTATTAAAATACCCACAAAAGATCAATTTACTTTTTCACTCTAACCATTTTCTCCCATAATAAATTTTATATCTGATTTAGCATGCAACATTTGCAAATATTTATTTGCTCACTAATCAACTTAATATTTTTTTATTATAATTTGATAACAAGCAATAGTGGGAAGTATTTACCGTATCACTAATCCTCAATGGCTAACTATCATAGGCCTTGGAGGCCCAAGCCTAGGACCCCCACATTTTTAGGGGCACCCACAAATAATTTCGTTTTGTATTTTTCCTTAGCAAATAAATATTCGAGTTATGAGTTAACAAAAGTTGAAAAAATATAAGCTCAAATTTACTAATATATCGTTATTTACTTGCGTTATAAATACAGTAGAGATCCGATTATCCGAGTTTCCGCTTAATCGACCTATCAAATATTTCAAGGAGTTTATTTGTTCTAGTTTATTTTTAAAACTCCACCGAAAAAAGGTCCGAATTTTATCTTCCAAATACTCAGGTAAACAAAATCCAACAAATTGATCTGAACGTTAATATCGTCAATAATGAAAATGAATTTAGCTAAGATGATGAAGACAGCGACAATGAAAGTCAACATGCAGGGGTGATTGTGAGCCCAAGTCGAAATTCCGGAAAATTTCTTGAGTTAAAAGCAAAAAATTTAAATTGAAAAAAAAATTTAAATAAGGTTTTTTTCCTTTTTCTCAATATTTCTTAGTTTACTTAAAATATTTTTAAAATTTTACACATACCTATGATGACCTGGAGAAGTAATTAAAATTTACAAATATGTCTTTTTTCTTCAGTTTATGATAATAACTATTTACTGATAAAAAATTTATATTAAGCATGAATATAAGCTTATAAAGTATATCTCTGGCTCTCCCTTACAAACAAAGTTCCACCTTTGAAATTTCCGGGAAGAATTTTTGTTTGAAATTTCCGGAAGCTTCTGTGATCAATAATTTTTTGAAACGTCTGGACCTTCGATCTCCGGAAACTTCCGGATCACAGTTAGCGAAAAATCCGGATTTTTTCCGGAGCACAATCAGCCCTGAACATATAAAAATCTCTCATACATAAGGACTAAAAGCTATCAAAAGTGCTATTGAATATATAAAACAACAAGAAGAAGCGACACTAGCATTCCAATTTCCTGTTATCCCTAAGAAAATGGCGAAACTGCTGCAAAAAAAAAACGCCGAAGTAATGCAAAACAAAAAACAATTAAGGACTTAAAGTAAAAACTTTCATTCACGCTAAGTATGCTTTTTGAGTGTTTTTAAATAAGTTTTTTAATTATAATATAAATTGCATGTGGTGCACTCGTATAAATTTAGTATTTGCAAAATACATTACATTTATACCTACTCTTTTTCTTTCCTTTTTTATACTCTTGGCTTTAAGTTTCTCGGTTATCCGAGTTAGTCATGGTCCACGTTAACTCGGATAATCGGGACTCTACTGTAATTAAAAAACACTTCATAGTTGAACAACATGAAAATCTAGTTTAAAGTAACGACCAGGGGACCCCTGACAGATCCCTCCCACAGACATTTCTAGATGAGGCTCTACTAATCTTCTTAATATCTTATTAAACTGAAATAACTTAGATGTTTTAATTAGACTGAATTAACTTAGATAACTTATTAAACTTCTTATTCTTTGAAATTTTATATTCTTTTAGTCTTTAGTAATCGACATATTCTTATACAAAACTTGGAGAGATCACAGACTTATGTTCCCAGTAGTTAATGAAAGCTTAGAGAAAATCGCTCTAAATCCAGACTGGAGGCAGCATCTATGGACACCAGATGTTTACTTTCACAATGCAATTGAAGGGAAAGTATTAGATAGTATAATTCCTTATGTTTATCTTTGGCTGAAGAATGATTCCACAGTTATTTTTGGAGCAAGGTATGTTTTAATCTTATCTTCTTTTATGTGTTTAATCAAGGCTGTGAGCTTTTTTTTTAAATATTTTACTATAAATTCTGTAAAATTAACTTTTACTCTATGTCAAGAGCAAAAATGCCTTATTTCATTACCATAGTATGCATTGATCCTATCTACTTTAATGTGTTTAATCAAGGCTGTGAGCCTTTTTTTTTTTAAATATTTTACTATAAAATATAACTTTTACTCTATATCAAGAGCAAAAATGACATATTTCATTACCATAAAGCTTGTTTCATTAGTGACATTGGTATTTTTCACTCAGTCAAGGATTGCCATAAATATCTTATTCAAAATTGCTTATTATCATTATCTAACATAACTTATCATCATTATTCAACATTACGAATTTTTACGTTATTTTTTTTTTATTTTGCAAAGCAAATACATATTCAGTTTTAAAATGCTTTTGTATACACTTAAGAACTTCAAATTTACAAAAAAAAGTAAGGTTTTTATTAATATATATTATGTTTACTTTGTGTATATTCTATTAAAAACATAAAATACGAATAAACATGTTTGTCTACATTTTTCTATCTTTTGAATACTTTAATTTTCAAATAATATTTAGTGCTCAAAAATATCTTCAATAGTATCATATAAAAAGTTATATTTTAAGAGAAAAGGAAAGGAAGAGAATGAGTATGAATTTTAAATATTCTATTTTATAACCCATGTTAAACATCCTATCCAATTCTCAGTTTACGACTCTCAATGTTCAACTGTGTAGCCTTGTAATTTTGAACCAAACTCAGAAGACAATGCAACTCATGGATCAAGCAGTGGGATAAAACTTACCCTTCACGCAGAACTTTTTGATGGAATGAACCCACATTTGCGTTGGAATAACACGAAAACCCCGACGACAAGGGGATTCTATATCCAATGATGCATCTACCAATGAGGATATTTTACGTCTGCATTGTAGTTGATGCGAGCCGGAAGCAGAATTGGAACTTGGGTCACTTTATTGGGAGGCGAACACTCTATCCTTTAAACCACTGTGTCTTAGCTTTAAATATATGAAAGGATAATCTAATCACAAGCCTTGAACGTTTAAAATTTCTCCTCGAAATTTATGGAAAAAATTTTCGCAGGCCAACAATAGAGAATGCATCGTAGCTTAAATTTTTTTCTTAATGGTTTCAAACTGACATCCATGTTTGTTTTTTACACTTCTAATAAACCAATAAAATAATTATTTATTTTGAAAATAATAAAATTAATTGCAAAAGCTTGAAACATTAAGATAGGATTTCGAATTCTGATCCTTTCAGACCAAAAATTTATGGGAAAATTTTTCACAGGCCAACAGTAGAAAATACATCGCAGTAGAAAAAATTTTTAAAATGTTTTTCTTAATGTTTTCAAACTGACATCTATGTTTGTTTTTTACACTTCTAATAAATCAATAAACAAATTATTTATTTTGAAAATAATAAAATTAATTGTTGGAGCTTGAAATATTAAGATAAGATTTCAAATTCTGATCCTTTCAGACCAAAAATTAAAAGAGTAAGAGCATAAACTAATTTATCTCAACAGGTTCCAGCAACCTCATTGATTGTAAAAGGTTGCTTTTGAACACAAAAAAAATTTGTTTAACATTAGAGTAGCTTCTGTAAAAGATATGCATCTGAGTTTTGCTTAGCTTGAAAACTTATTAAAACAACAGTTTAGACAGTTACTTTAAAACGAAGACAGTTACTTTAAAAAAAAAGTAACTGTCTTCGTTTTAATTAAAAAAATACTGTATATCTTAGTGTAAAAGTCGATCCTTATTTTTTATTATGAAATAGCAAATTTCCGGCATATCGGAAGTATAAGTCGACCACTGAAGAACTCAAAAATGAAAATTTCATAAAATAAAAAAATTAAGTCTATAAAATTTTCTCTAATTAAAAATATTTCACATTCTTCTTGGTGGATATGATGCATTTGCCTCAAATAAAGATGCATGCTGTGAGGCGACGTCAAATAATATGTATGGAAAAATGTAGATTTAAATGCTATTATAAAACTTTTAAAAAGAGTGGAATTTCGAATTTTTTGGATAGATGTATGATTTTTTACAGAACTCAGCAGATGGGGATGAAGTAGAATCCATTGCAGAGTGGGATTCATATGACAATACCAGGGGCCTTATGGACAATACTTTGTACATTGTTGAAGCCGACACAAATGATATTCGGGAATCCTTAAATTTGTAGCAATGCAGCATGTTTTAAAAGTTTACATTATGCAATATTTTTAAATTTACTCTTGAATAAACTACCTTAACTTTTCTTAATGTTTCTTTTTGAAAACAAATTTAAAGCAATGTTTCTAAAAAAAAAAAAACCTTTATGTGTAAAGAAAATATGATGCAAAATTAACTGTGTAATGATATTAAAAATAGATATTGAATGGAGTAAATTGATGAGTAGTTAATCATATTCACCTAATTGTTAATAATGCCTTGATTTTTTATGATCGACGAATATCAGATTTTATTACTGGTGTGCAAGTCTAACCCACTGGTTTTCGTAAAATTTTTTGGTTTCGAAAAGGCGACATTTACACTGGAATATATGGAAGTTCTTTCTAAAAATAGGAAATAATTATAGGCATATTAATGCCATCATTTTAACGTACTAGTAAAAAAAATTGAATTCACTATATATAGATAATGTTTACTTAAATAGCTATTTTAATGGAGAAAACTAATAGCCCTATTACTTCATGAAATTATGAATATGAATAGTATTTTGAATAGTAATTTTTCAAAATCATGAATAGTACTTTGAAGCATTCTGAATAGAAACAGCACAACAGACCACAAATTTTCCCATAAATGACTGAAATGTATTAGGGATGTTAAATGCACCATTATCTGTCAAATATTTCATTAAGTGGTAGAAAATTAAAGACAAAAGCTACGTGAATTTCTTTCATTGATTCAAACACTTTAAAAACCTCAACATGAAAAGTTAAGATGAATTGGCATTCTATATACATTTAAAATATTTTCACATAGTTGTAAGGCAAAACTATTTACGTAAAATTTTGTCCAACAGGCAATCATGGCTACCACAAGAAAAAATGTTATCATTAAGAGGAGAAAGTTAGCATCGCTGCAGTATACTAGTGCCAACTATAGTTCATATGCTGACTTATATAATTAATTGGGATATGCTAAAACTAGCATATCCTGATTCCAAAATTTGACCTATGTGATAAATTCAATTCAATGGTTGATGATAAGGCCATTTTATACAATATAGAATTAGGTGGTTGGGATTTGATGTTACAATTCTAAGCATCTCAATTTTTCTGAATTGATAACATCTTTCGAAACAGGTTAGAAGTTTTTAAATGAAATGATTTTATATCCCTTGTATGATGAAAATTCAGTGATTATTTTCAACCTTTCTGTAAAAAAATGCTTTTTATATTTTTACATACTTTTAAATTTGTGACATTATTTCAGATTATCACTAGAATTTAGCTGTGACATGTCACTTCATAACTTCCCTCATGATACTCAAACTTGTGATATAGTTGTAAAAAGCTGTAAGTATAACATTTATATATATATAAATCTGTGTGTAACATAAAAAGCTTCAATTAATCTTTTTATGTTAGTTCTTTCCTGTAAATCCTTTTCTTTCATTTTATTATTCTAATCGAAATGCTGTCTCACACTTTTAGATTCACATCCTGTCCTTAAATCTATTTTTGGCTCAAGTATGCATTAATTAAAAGTAAAGACATTTTCCCTTTACTCTTTGTGGGAATCGCACGACCTATTTAATAAACCAACAATAATTCCCTCTTTTCCCTAGATAGAGACATTTTCAGATTTTTTGCAAGATTTTCCCTACCAGAAAAACTGATAGTCAATAGAGTATACAACACTTTTCGCTCGCCACTCAATAAAGAATGATCAAATAAAATTAATTTGCTTTCATTAAAATTCTGTGTCTTGTTTTTCTGCTCGGTCCGACTGTCACATTTTACATACATATATATAGATATATATATGCACACATCTAAGTTGTTTCCGAGAGTAAGGTTTAAAACAGGTTTTAGGCTGGGGAAGAGGGCAGAATATTTATTTAATAGTTATTAGAGAGAGAACAATCATCCAAGTGATACAAAATCGAAGCGCTCCTTAACCTCAAGGCGGGGGAGTCATATATGAATTCTCAGGGTGTCGATAATCATGGTAAAAAAGATAAAACTGGTAGGCAAACTATTTTAACAGCAGTTTATTTGGTGGCAAGGTAATAATAGTTTGCTTTATTTAATTCACCACTTAGTTTGAATTAAAAGTTGTATAGTTACACTTTTAACCCACAAGGATTAGATGCGTTAGATTTAAAGTGAAAGCAAAAATAAGTCTATTAAATTAGCTATGGCCAAACCTAAGCTACTGCTTTTTATTTTTTACTATCCTGATTCTGATTCCGTACGAATACATTTATGACTAGCCCGTCCCAAAAAGGTTAATAAAAGTTAGGGAAAATCTCGTAAAATGTTTCGTTTTAGGGGATAAGAGAAATAACATAAAAAGATTAGCTGAAGCTTGTTATGTCACACACACACACATATATATATATGTTTTGGTAAAGTTTATTTCCCAAATTTACATTAATAAATGTATATAATCAGTGTTATTGGTGATTTGACCAAAAACAAAATATTAACTTCAATAATTAAAAATTATTTAGTCTATCCAACCTCCAAAATATTATTAATGAGTAATATTTATATAAAATATACTAAACATATTTATGTTTGAGTATCTACATTTACAATTTTTTTATATTCTAAGGTTTTAATCAAACTTTTGTAAAAAAGTTTACTAAATTTAGTAGAATAATATAGCATTTCTTATCTCATGATTTATGCAATTGAATTGCATTAAGAATTGAACATGGAATTAAGAATTGCATGAAGAATAGTTTTAAAACATTTCATTTTCTCTATTAGCTAACAATTTGTTGAATTCTTAAAATCTGGAAAAGTTATACAAAACTTCTTAACACATAAAACCTTATATCATCATCTAAACTTGTTCCTTTGTTGCAAGGCAGGATAGTGTAACCATAAAATGAACTTTAAGCCACACCTATTAAATAGTATTCAAAAATACTTGATTTTAAAGCTTTAATGAAAAGATTTTCATTACCTATAGATTAATTAATTTGTCGTAAGGATCAGATATTACGAAAAACATTTTTACCATAAAGAGATCTGCATAGTCTATAAACAGTCTTTACAAAGGGATATTCCCAAGAATGTTTAGCAATTTTTAAAGATTAACTTTCATTGCAAACTTCACAGTTCTGAACTAAGTTAGTTTAGCTGGAACCAATAACTTGTCAATAAAAATAATTTTTAACTAATGTAGAAATGTGATATAATTAGTGGGAAATGGTGCTGGAAGCGTCAGCAGTTGGCTCTTAAAAAATATATTTCTGAAACATTTGGTATAAACACTCTAATGTGTATAAAATACGCAACTTTATTAAAAAGAAAACTTAATTTCCCTGTTTTAAAATAGATAGGTATTTCAGATCATTATCATAATACCTCATAAATTCGAAAAAACATCTTGTGGTGAAGAGTGGCTCTTGCCAATTCTTTTGCATTAACAGGTATTATTTCTAATCATAAAATGATTAATCACAAATTAAAATGATCTAATCATAAATGACGTTTGCTTCTTAAAGTTTTTATCCACTGACAGTAACACAATATTAAATAGTTCTAAATACCTAATTTTTGAATCTATAATATTTGAAAACAAACAGAACTAGAAAGGAGCAAAGACTACAATAAGCCTGATTCTTTCTAGCTTATAATGAAATATTTTCTTCATATCTAAGCATTCCTTAGCATAATTATGGTATTACTAATAAAATCCAAATATTGAAATAATTGCTTGATTATTATCATTGCATATCATAGCATAAATATAATGAAATAAATGTTTCTCTAGGTCGAAATATAACATTGGTTACTTTTCTAAATAATATCAATGCAATAATCAATTATAAATTTTTTTTTTTTCAGTAACGCACACTTTGAGTGAAATGAATCTTCACTGGCGCGATGCTAACTCCCTTAGTGTAAGTGACTTCATAATTCTACCTCAGTTTGAGTTTATGGATCCTCAAACATCAAACTGCACAAAGAAAGACATGATGGGGAAACATGGTAAGAAATCTAACACACATTTCAACATTAGTTTAAAAAAGCACATAAACACTGAATCACAAATATATGCATAAAAGAAATTCACTTAAGTTTATCATTTTGCTCCTACAATGCTCGACTTCATTTGCATTTATATATTCAATTTTATAAGTTTTAAATAAATAAAATATAAGAATACAGTTTTAATGAACTATACTAAACATTAATTGTTAATATTCTAAAAAAGTCCTATCTTGAATAGAATTCAAATTAAATACTTCAATAGATTATTTTAAAAACATTGAACTTTTCTGGTCTTGTTTGTTGGAGCCCTGAAAATAGATTTAACCAGTTAATAGGTCTTTAAAATAAACAAATTTAAAAAGAAAAAAGAAGAAAAAAAAACATTATTCAACAAACAAATCAAAAAAACAATTAGGATCACTTTTAACATTTTGTTATTGTTTGAATGAAGGTTAATCAAACATAAAATGTAAATTAGGATAAAGTAACAATAGGGTCAATTTTGAAACGTTATTGTTTAAATGAAGGTTAATTAAACATAAAATGTTTATTATGATAAAGTAAATGCAATTGATAAAAAAAAAGAAATTTATAAATACGTGAAAAAATAAGCTGACAAAATGAAATACCTATCCTGTCTTTCCATAAGTTCAACTCTCACTTGAATGGACACACACATTTTATTTTTTTCACTTGATGTTAAGAATCAGCATACAACATCACAATAAAATAAATGTAAATGGGATCAAATATTCAGATAAAAGTGAGCAGAAAAAAAACTTCAAATATTAAAAAAACAAATAAAGAATTGAGTAGTCTTGGTAATGATAAAAACATTTCCACTTGAATCTGAAGCAAAAAGAATCTGTTTTTTTTAAACAGCATTAATAACTAGATTCATTTATCTTCGTTATTTATTCTTCCCACGAAAGTTTAACAACATATTAAAATTATTTAATTTTTTTACTGCTCTTGTCTTTTCAACAACTTCTAAATAGGGTCCATTGCAGCAATATAAATGTATAGCAATCCTAAACTGCAAAGGAAATGAAAGAAAATCCCTATGATATAAGACTTTTCGTATCTGGGAAATAGACCGGGAAAATTTTACATTTGATTGACGATAGTTCTCGTAAAGTTTAGTGTGGAAACCTAAAGATTGTACAAAAGTAGGGATGTGCAACTAGATCATGTTTGAGATTCATTCAAAATCATTTTAGGATTATAAATAATTTCTTTCAATATAATCAACATTCGGAAACAAGTTTTATTGTATTTTTCAAATTATTTTGAAAATTATTACCTAGCAGAAAAAATTAGTCTCGTGAATGATCAATAACTTTTATGATGTATTGATTCAGAAAACTAGTACCCAGAAGGGTATCCTTCCCCTAGGTTCCAGATTAAATCATTACTGTGTTATTAAATATTGCTTATAATTCTTTATTGTTTTAGAAATACAAATTTATAAAAAACAGAAGAGAAAATAAATTCTTTTTTTTTTACATTATTGCATGAAGTATATTTTAAAATAAATTTGTAAAAAAAATGCTGCCAGTGAGCATTTTGTTAATTTTAATATAATTTTAAAATTTTCAGAGCAAAATTAGAATATCATTTGACACAACATTAGCTGGAATGCTTATTGATTTCAGAAAATTATCATTATCATTTGAAAGTCTAGTATACAATGTTTTATGCATATATTTCTAATCATTAAATGTTAATAATAAATAAAAATACATTTTTATGAATGAACACTAGATATCCATAGTAAATATCATGCAAGTTTAATCTCAAATTGCAATCAAAATATTTGTTATAAAAGCATTGTATTTCATAAAACATTCAACTTTTGTTTTTGAAACTTTAAATAAATATTCATAATTCACTATACAAAGTAAATTTTTCAGGCAAATTTGCATGTCTAAGAGGAGTGATTCATTTAACAAGAAGAGTTGGCTATTATGTCATCAATATTTATATACCAAGTATTCTAATTGTCTTTATGGCAATGCTAACATTTTGGATACCTGTTGATGCTGTTCCTGGAAGAGTGACTTTGGGAGTAACATCACTGTTGACCATCATAACAAAACAGTACCAAGCTGCATTGCCAAGTGTTTCGTATGTTGTAGCACTCAATGTTTGGCTCTCAGTCTGTATTGGTTTTGTATTTTGTAGTTTACTTGAATATGCAGCTGTTGTAGCAATTCTCAGTCATCAAAAACGAGTAGAAAAAGAAAAAGTAAGTTTTGTAAAATATCACGATTGTTCAGTAATATTCATAAGCTTTTGGTACAAGGGCAAAATGGCTTGTTAGGGAAATTTTGGGCGTAATTTCCTTAAGAAGCTTGCCTATTAAAAGATACAAATTGACTTAATTTTACAGAATGCAATTCTCATACATGGAAAACAGTTGAAAATAAAAAAATATAATTTTATGTCAATTGAAAATAGTTTTTAATAAACCACAACATTTTGTATCTCTTAATCCAAAGATAAAATTATATAGCAAATTAAAGGAATGAAGGGGGGGAAATGCATTATGAATAATGCAGAAGAATTTTAATACAGTCGAACCTGCCTATCTCGAATCTCGCGGGAAAGGGAAAAAAAATTGAGATAGAGAGGTTTCGAGATATACAGGTAAGTTTAAAAAATGAAATTCGAGCAGCAATGTTTAATTAAAAGAAACTTTAAATCATTTATGTTGTAAAGAATTTAATTATGATTACATATTAATTACATCTAATAAAAGTTTTTAACAGTCATACGCACCTCATAGGTAGTCTTTTAATGATTTCTGACGTCGGATTTTCTTTGATTCGATAATTTTTCGAATGTTGGAGAGAGCAGCGAACCCCTCGTGTCCAACGTTTTCTTGACATTCAAGAAAGTTTGTTAAACGTTCCACAGCTTTTTCAGCTTCCTTTACTGTCACTTTCGGTGCTTCTATATGCTCTTCGTCTACTTCATTTTCGTCTTCGGAAATGCATCTGACATTATCGACAATTTCCGAATCTGTCAAAGTTCCACATGTGGCCAAGGAGTCATCCACTTGCAAAAATTCTTCAAAGGAAATGTTCACTTTTAATCCAGATTTTATTGCATTCCAATCTTGTGAATTTATTTCGATCATTTCTTCATCAGTGATATAAGTTTCTTCAGCTTCCTTTTCGGAAATTTCAGTCTCTTCTTCAATAATCCCCATCTCTTCTTCACACTCATTCTTAAACCCAGCTTTTTTAAAACCATTTTGAATGGTCTTCTGTGTTACATTTCTCCATGCGTGGTCTGTCATTCTGATAGAATCCAGTACATTTATCTTGGGAAGGGTACTTCCTTCATCAATTGCATCTACGAGTTTGCGGATCAACTGTTTTCTGTAGTTAACTTTAAAACTTCTGATTACTCCCTGATCCATAGGTTGAAGCTTTGAGGTGGTGTTTGCGGGAAAATACTTAACACAAACATTTTTCAGTTCAGGCAGATTGTTATGCGCACTACAGTTGTCTATAAAAAGAATAATTTTTCTTTTTTTTAATCGCATGGATTTGTCTAAGGACTTTAACCAATTTCCAAAGATTTCACTCGTCATCCAAGATTTTTTATTTGCTTTGTATGGAAAAGGGAAGGATTTTACTTTAGAAAAGCATCTAGGCTTTTCTGAGCGTCCGATCATGAGAGGAGGAAGTTTCTCTGTGCCTGCTTCATTTGCAGCTAAGAGCAATGTCAAACGAGCTTTACTTTGTTTTCCTCCCCTGCATGCTTCATCTTTAAACATAGCAGTTTTGTCTGGCAAACATTGATAAAACAGTCCTGTCTCGTCAGCATTGAAAATATTTTTTGGCTCATAGCCTTTCACTAAATCAGGAATGTTTTTAATCCAGTCTTCGCATACACTTTCCGGAACAGAGGCACTTTCACCACAAAGTTTTCGAAAAATAATACCGTGCCTATTTTTAAAACTTTCTAGCCATCCGTTACTGCCTTTAAAATTATCTTCATGGCCAAGCTCTTTAGCAAAATCCTCAGCTTTTTGTTGCATTATTTGTCCACTGATAGGAATACCGCTGCTCCTGCATTGTGTAAACCATTTTAAAACACATTCATCCACGTCCGGAAAAGTGCATTTTCGGCTTTTTTTCGCATTCTTGTTGCTGCTATGAAATTTTTGCTCCACAGCTTCTCGATTCTTAATAATTGTAGAAAGAGTGCTTGCTGGTAAACCGAACTTCACCGCAACTTCGTTTTTTTTCATTAATGGATTTCCGTCCAAGAATGTTAAAATTTTCATTTTTTCTTCAATGGAGAGAACATTCAATTTACGTTTAGCCCCTGCCATACTTAATCAAAATTCAATTGAACAATGTTTTAAAAAAGACTGAGACGCTCAAACCAACGACCTCCTAAAAAAATTCTACTGATAAAATGAATTTCTCTTTGTGTTGTTCTTATCCATGTGTGGAAACTGATGCCCAGTGGTGACGCCCCCCTCATCAATCAACTTTTCATTGTCCGAATACACTCAATTGGTTGGAGAGTGTGACGATAGTAACCGGAAATTCCAAGAAACGACCCCCCAATCTGCTCATTCTTACTTCCCATGGGGCTAGGGAATTTTTCGGTTCTTCTAATGTAGCTTGTTTGAACAAGTTCTGCTGTCCAGGCATCGGTTACGATGATGTACATTCTCCTTCAAAATTCGAGAAACACAGGTTTTGAAAGAAATTTTTTCGAGATAAACTTGGAAAAATACATTAAAATTAAATCATTAATGTCGGGAAACTAAGAAATTTCGAGAAATACAGGTTTTCGAGATAAGCAGGTTCAAGATAAACAGGTTCAACTGTATAAACTAATTGTAAGCAACATCTGTTTTACCAAAAGTAAGTATTATCCTAAATTCCAATTAAAAATAATAATAAAAAGCATATAAAATGGAAATCATAAGTGTAGGCCTCATAGTGGACCAAAGAAAAAATCGGACCAAAAATGAAGACATTTTTTTGGAACTGTATGCATATACCAGACTTTAAAAAGGGCTAAGGACAAACTGAAAAATAACTCACTGCACTTAAATGTAATAAAGGAAAAATTTTATCTCAAATTCTTTTGAGATAAAGCGTATAATCAAATATATTTTAAATAAATGTTTCAACCCTTTGCAACTCAACAACTCCGATTTAAGAAATTTTTACACAAAAAAAAGAATACAATATTAATACAAATATTAAGCTTGAAAAAAAAAATTAAGACCTTATAGATAAAATTTATTGATAAAAAAAAGTGTTTGCTGCAAAATACCATAAAAATTCCAATATATTTAAGGTTTAAATTTATGTGAAAATTTTTGAAACAATTGTTTTTATTGTAACTAAGTCCCACACCGTATTTTTCTCATACAGTTTGTGCAAACCCTTTACATCTCGGATATTTACAACTTATCTTTCTTTCTACCCAGTTAGGCCAATGTCCCATTTCATCTAGACACACTGGTTTTGGTTGGATATGCTGAGCAGATCCTCTATGCTTCTTTTCTTGAATGCCTTTTTCTACATCACTTATCCTTTTCCTGTTAGCTTTCGCTTTAGTGCTCATTTTACAAAGAGTTTCAGCCACTTTAATGCAGAAGTCAAGATTTTTTTCAGTTTTTTTGTTGCACTCCATGAACATGTTTATACAATAGCCAAGCATTAAACATGATCAAATCCAGAAAGAGATAAAACATGTGAATAAGCCTTTTTTTTTGTTTTTCAGTAATATCTTCTGACTTCCCAGAATGCTGTTTATCAAATCTACTCCCCCCAGGCTTCTGTTATATTCAGATACAACAAAGGGTTGGTCAATATATATGTATGATTTTGTAGATTTGTTATACTTTTGAACCATTGATTTAGGTTCTTCACCAGCAATAAAAGATGCCAAATGAACAATTTTATTATTTTTCCATGATGTTGAACATCAACTCCTTCAACTGTTGTACAGTATTCAGTAGATGATTCCTGTTCTTTTTCTTCAGATCTTTGTTTGATTTGCAGTTAGGTACATGGTTTCTCCGTATTGTTCCCAAGCTTAGAACATCAGAATATCCCCCTCAGCCAAATATACAATCAAGGAGATTGTTATAAAAAAATTATCAAACTATATCCTGGTGTTCATATGTCATGGAACAATTCCTGCAGAATGCATTACATTAATAGCAGCTGCACCAAGATCTGCTCCCCCCCTACCTGAGTCAACATTTCCTTTACTTAAAACTAGTTCCGATTTTATAGGCAGATCCAGCTCATTATAGGATTAACATTGACTTTTTATGTATGTTGCAGATATACAATGAGGTGATACATAGGGTTAATATATCAATAATATACTTTAAAAAATATATAATTAATACATATTTTAATTTCAGAATTACTTTGTTTAGAACGGAAATTTTCCAGTATTATTTTATTAAGGGAGCACTGAACAATTCATGATAAATCTATGATAGAAAATTTTTACAGTACTGACTCATTAAAGAAAAATAACCAGGATCATATAGTTAAGATTCCTGATTACCAAAATTTAATTAAAATTTGTAATGGAGTTCAAGACTTCCTTAATTAAATTATTTTAAAGTAAGGTTACAATAATATAAAAATGAAAACAGTGAACGCTTGACGTTTTTCTGCAAAAATAATATAGCGGATGATCCCCTAAATTCTATTCTAGTTAGAAATTCTATCGTATTTTTGATTAGAATCGAGCATTTTTTAATCAAGATAAAAGAGACAAATCAATAATTGCAATACTACAAAATTCCATCATTCTTGATTTGTTACTCCATTTGCTGCAAAAATAAATGAGTCTATCACCCCTGAATACAGATGTGGGTCAGGTAAACACTCTGTGGATATGGTATTTATAAATGAGTATTTACCCCTGCTTTGGGTAAATATCCAAATCAGGGTTTTATAACTTTTTGTTATTTTTAAAGCATAACCATGATTTGTCTTGCTTATATCTCTGAAAATAATATAATTTTATCTTTAATTTTAAAAAATAAACTTTAAACTATATATGTCAGCTTAAGAAGAAATACTTCATAAAACACTGCAGACGTTATAATGTTGCATTACATTGCAATATACATTGTTGCATTAAAAAAGCAATGTACAAAGGTTTGCAATGTGTTATGTAATTTAGTAGACATTATATTAAATCATTTAAGTTCAAGTTAGTACATTTTTCAAGAACAAATAATATTTTTCAGTGCAATGGAATAAACTGGATTAAAATAATACAGAGATTAAGATTAAAATTTATAAAGTTCGTTGAAACTAAGTTTTTAAATCAGTTTTGTTCATTCATATTTAGTTAGTAAATTAACTTTAAATGATGAAACAAAAACTATAATTTCGATATCTAAATTTTAAAAGAAATTTATTCATTTAACTATTTTATTTAAACCTCATTTGTCTATTTTTACAAAAAGAAAAAAACTGCAATTAGTTTAAAATTTTTAATTTTCTATATTGATTCTATTTTATTTAAAAAAAATATTAGTACTTTTATTTTTAAAAAACAGTCATATTTGTGAAATTTAAAAATTTTATTAGGCACAAGAAATATTGAATTATGCAGTAAACTTTTATATTAATGAGTTTTTTTTTTTTCCTTCTAACTTTAAAATGCAAGGCAATTCAGACAATTAAACAAAAGGTAGTCTTATTTACTGTTTTCTATTCTATATAAGATGATCATTATTAATATTGTTCCTAAGCATTGTTCTATGTTTTTAATTAAATTAACAATATTAAAATTTAATGAAGTATTCCTTGAAATTAAAATATCTTGTGATTTGTATTAAAAACACATCTTGTAATTGGTAATATTGGTAAATTTTTAGAGATAAGTTTTGTCAATTCAAAAATTAATTTAAGTATAAGAAGAAGAAAAAAATAACATGTATCTCAACTGTATATATTTTAGCTTTATAAATAAAATTTTATTCATCTAATGTTTATTTATATTTAAAAAAATTAAGGAAGATTAACTTTATGAATGCTAAATCTATCAAGTATTATTCTTTACTTATATCGATTAGGAATAAAAGATATTTAAGGCAAATAAAACTTATTTCAATCAATTATTTTTAATTAACATGCTTTTGTTGTATATATTTTGGCTTTTTATGTCTTATTCAGACTAAAGTTAATTGCATTTGATGAACAAAAAACTTTTTTTTTTCAATTGAAAAACAATAAATTATATATATTTAATTAACAAAAAAAAAAATTTCTTTCTAAATACTTGTAAGAATTATTGCATTTTGGTTCACTCAGACACTAGGAATAAAATGATAAAACTAAATCTAAATTTTATTTATTATGTTATTAACATAACAAATTAAATATGTTCATCTTAGCTTAGAGTTACTCAATAAGTTAAACATACAATTTAAAATGGGGGGAAATGAAGTTTTTCTTTTCTTTCCTATAACAGTTTCCTTCCATAGGTATAAAATCTCATTAAACTTAGTATACAAAAATATTTAAAGATTTAAGCAAGCATATACTTTATACCTCTTTGAAAATCAAACTAATATTAAGCTATATTTCTTTTAATTTAGTTATAAAGATGTAAAAACTCAAAAAATTTTACAGCCAAACATCGTGCACTATTTATTATTCAGAAAGACGTCATCACTTCACAACTAAATATGGATCAGATAAGGAATTATGTATGATTAACTTTTTAAAATAAACTACTTAAAACCTGAATAATAATTTTTTCAATTTCAAAAATATATTTGTGACAAAACTTTCTTAATTTAGATTTTATTTTCAAAACCACAAATTTTGGGAATTATGATTAGAAATGTCAACTTTAGGAGATTAAACCACATAACTGCTCTCAAATGAAGATATAAAAAAAAATTACGATTTCAATAATTTACAGGTTCAATTGACTGAATTTTTCTTTGCAGTAGATAACGAATTAACTATTGACAATGTAAGCAAAACTTAACTATCTTAAATATCATAATTTTGAAAAACGAATGAATTTTGGATATTTACCAGGGTAATTGTCCAGAGTATTAGTTATAAAAACTCCGGTATTTTTTATCTGTAACCCATGAATACATTACCATAAAAACTTAATGATATAAAACTGTTAATTAAGTTTCTTTTTTTTACAAAATGACTGAATACCTAAAAAGTTTGAAACTATTAATCATGCTCATAAAGCTATATGCCTGAACCATGTACAGACTCGATGGACTGTATCTAAGTTTGAATTATCAAATTTTGCGATTTTTACTGGCATTATAAATTAAAATAAAAATATTGGACCTAAAATCATGATTTTCCAATACTTAAGATTTTTTATTTTAAAATCTGAAAATTGTATGTTAGAAAATGGGATTTTCCGAGAACACACAAAAATTAGGAATTACAGGACAAAAAGCTATAAATTAGAATAAATAAGGTCAACATATTTTTTATCAGAAACATCAGGACAGCTTTATATGCAACAAGTTTAAAATTCTTTCATTAAAAAGCAACAAAAAGAAAATACAACCCTCATTACAATTCCTGATGTATAAAAATTTTATAAGAATTGAGAATTAAACTGCACTTCATTTTGGATACTATTCTAAAAAATAAAGTAGTTACATCTTTGTGTTATGGGAAGAAAAAAAAAAGAAACAGATTTTTATACAAGGACTAAGGAATACTAATCACATTAATACTAAGTAACATGAAATTGCTGTCATACACATAAATAAATGGTGTATTTTCATTATTTTAATTGACACTTTATAACTTTCTTTCAGAGAGCACATAGCTTAGAAGAAGATTCAGGATGCTACAAACTTACTTATATATTTCATTCCAAGCTTGAAAAGATTGATGTTGTTCAAATTGATAGAATATGTCGTATTGTATTTCCTGTCATTTTTGTTTGCCTTTGCCTTATTTACTGGATTTTTTATACAAAAATAAATGCTGATTATTAAAGTTATAGGTAAATAAATATTAATGGGTACAAAGTTTATTGTTATATACAAAATGAATGATACTGTATATAAATTTTTACCTTTTGAATCCATGTTTTTTTTATATGCATAAAGAAAATAAGCAGTATGAAACAAATAGTGTCTTTGGTTTTACTTTTAACCAGCATATATTTAGAAACCTTTTCCCTTATTAGTTAATTTAGAGGTTTGTAAATACCACTAATTTGATTCAAATTAATACATAAAGTGTTTAAAAAAATGCAAAACAAAAATATTACAATAAATTTAAGAACAAAATATGGGATAACAAGAATGAAATTTGCATTATATTTAGCTATTTTGAGCCACCAAGTACAATACAAGCCTTTTATTTGCTATTAAATGAGACAATAGTGTAAAAAAAATTTTTGATTTAAACTTGTATTAAGGGTTTTGAGGTTTGACACTAAAATTCAATAATCTACTTAGTGAAAAAGAATTGTGAAAAGTGAAAAAGAATTGATTTACTTTGTCTGTCATTAGGATTACATTTAAAATAAGGTCAGGATACTCCATTGATGAAGGAAAATACAAGCAGTTAAGTAAATTTAAATAAAAACAAGTTTAAAAATTGCATAAATATTATTATTTATGATTATGTTTAATTATAGCACATAACACACAATATATGACAACAAAATTCAAGTGACAGTAATTTATTTTTCAAGAATGCGTTTCTACATTTTAATTATAAAAAAAAACAATATATGGTTAAAGTATAAAAAAGCAAATACAAATAATCAATTAATTACAAAATCTAAAAAATTTGAGAATTAATAACCAATATTTATTATTTTTTAAACAAATTTGTAATATTTTTAAACATGGTTTAAAATTGAAAAAGACAGTACATTTACTGCAACTTGCATATAAAACTTTATACTTTTAAGCTTTAAATTTAAATATTAATTCATATTAATATAAAATATTCTCTTTCAAATCAAGGCAGAACACTATTACAACAAATAAAAGATGAAAACAAACATGGAAAAACAAGATTCAAATTAAATCTGACTAAATAGTCAGAATCTTCATTCTCTCAATGTTTTTGCAAAAGAAATGCAGGGAATATAACTTTAAAAAAATTAAACAATGATGTTAATGAAAGAATATTTTTTTAATACACTAGCAAAGAATCGACACTGCAACTTTTATATATATGTTTTTTTAATTTTTTTTTACTAAAAATATATTCATTAATAAATTTGAAAAGATGAGTAAGCTTTAAACAGCATGAGAAATCTTTTAAATCACAATTACTTAGGATTAAAAAAATTTCACTTGCGAAATTAATTATAATTAATTAGAAACTATTGACAGACTTTAACATATAAAAATTTAACAAATATTATTCAATTGCAAGAAACAATATAAATTCTATTAACTAATCGAAAAAAATTAAGGAATGGTGAAAGGAAATTAAGTTATTAAAACAATATTTATGTTTACAGAATATATAATTAAAGTTGTTCTGAAACTCAATGACTCAATATACAAGCTAATTATAGCACCAAATCTATGTCAAACATTTTCTTCATACGAGCTTACTTGTTTTGATTTTCAAGTCTTTCTTATTTTATAAAGCTCAAATAAGATTCTTCAATATTTTCTATTATATACTTCCAAAAAAAAAAAACTAAAAAAATCAACAGCGGATTCCTGTTCCAATAGCCATAAAAGTTCCAAAAGTGCCTCCGCCTTGAAGCATCATTTTTCCTACACTTTGGATAAGTTCTCTTCCTCTTATTCCATATCTGAAAAGTAAACACTCGTGTATTTGGCACTGTAATAATTATTATTTTATTTTAAAGCTATTGAACACAATGGAAATGTTACAATACCTTAAAACACAGTACATTTTGTCAAGAACAGATTCTACTAATGAAGACTACATATCAAATGCTCAATCATATTTTTCCTATGGAGTTAACAATAGCTCACACTAATGTTAACTCTTTTGAAAATAAAGTGAATTATTTTTTTCAAATATAAATGCTGGATATTGATTTTGAGGAGATATCTTTCATTTAAAAAATTTTAAAGCTTCTATATAAATTTTCTTGACAGCATAGTTTAATCATCTTTATTTAAAGATAAAATTGAGTTTGGCAGTTACTGAACTGAAGAAATATTTTTATAAAAACAAGATCAAACTATATCAAATAAAAATCTGCATCCAGGCCAGTTCACAATTTTCCGAGACATTTATGTCAGAAGTTTGTTCTTCCTGCATAGTTCACATTAGCAAGAAAAAAATTTTAAAAGGTATACAATCAAATCAAGACAGAATTCTGTTTAAAAAGCAAAGTTTGTTAAACCTACGCAAACCACGTAATTAATAATCAAATTTAAAACAGAACCCTATATTAAAAACGTCATCAGATATCACAAATCTAAATAAATTGTAGTAAAACTGATCTATAGAAGTTTCAAAGTGCTGCATGTTTGATTTTCATTTTCATAGTAAAAATAAATAATTTCACTAAGAAGAGTGGCAGTTGCAGAGATGCCAACTGGCTCTGGATAATGGAAAATATTTTCAAGAGATAGGCTTTTAATGCATGATTCTGATTTTAGTAAATTCGATTTATGAAGTTTCTACTCGCCACTACTTTTAAATAATTCAAAAGCTTATGTGTTGCGCCTTTTAAAAACCCAGAAAAAGCAACCAAAAATTTGCAAATTTTAGTTTGTAGTTCTCTACTGTTACCTACCATCCCTGCAGATGACTCTTAAAGGAAAATGAGTGCATTGTCAAAAGCGGACATGTACTTCACTTGAACTAGCAAAAAGCTACTTGTAAAACAAGAATAGTTTTGTATAAATAAATAACAAAGATACATTCCTGTGATTTTATATGCATTGGAAATATTAATTGATGTCAAAAAAATTTTTATGAGAAAACATGCAAGTTTAAATTCTCCATAAATGATATATTAATTTTCAAATTTGAGTTGGTGACTAAAACAAAAATCATCCAATTCATGTAAACAAAATTAGAAGCTTATTTGTTTTTACAATTTGTTTCTTTCTATAAACCTGCTATTGCTTCATAATAAACACTTAACATAAATATCGAGAGAAAAAAATGAGGGAAAAATAAGTTTGTTTAAAATGTAGAAGGGGTCTAAGAGATAAAAGAAAAGAATAAGATCTGGAAGAGAAATGTCCTCACACTTTCATGCTCTCTACATAATAGTTATTTTAAGATGTGCATAGAACATGGTTAACCAAAACCCAGGTTTTGAAGAAAAAACCTTATGCATGTGTGTTTGGCATTAAAAAAAAATTGCTGGCTTCTACTACTATTCCACATGCATACTTCATAGTTATATATACTAAATAAGAATAAGATATACTAGTATATTTTATTGTTACTAAGGAATTAAGAAAAGAAATAATTCTGTCAGAGAATGAGTTTTTTATCTACAGTATAAATGTACAATGAATTGCATAGTGATGAAATAACTAAAATGATTCTTTACAAAATATAAGGTTAGCTCTAAATCATAAATAAACATGATAGATAATTAGGAAATTTCTGGATATTTTTTGAGAAATTATATAATTATGAGCTGCAAATGTATATATTAAGTATTTATAGGACATTATGAGTTCATTTGTATTTTACCATAAATATATTCTTTATAAGGCTGATAATATGCAAAAAAATTATCTTGTACCTTTTATTTTTGATGGTTAAATAGTGTTAAACATTAAAATTTAAATATTTAACGCTTGTACTTTCAAGCATTCCATTTAAGATTTTAATAGGCACGCAAGCAGCATTTAAGATTTTAATAGGCACGCAAAAAATTTATTTAGTTTAATTAATATGATTTAATTTATTCTTTGTTAGAACACAAGCATATGAAGTACAACCAATATCTACAATCAACATTCACAATTTATTAATATATAATTTCATTATGTAATTTATGACTCCTTAGAGTAATTAACAAAATTTTATAAATAAAAAAATTAGCAAGCAGAAAAATATTCTTAAATATGTTTTTTCCACTCATTAAAAAGCAAAATATACGCTTATTTTATGTGTCATAACAATTTTATTAAACTAAAATGTAAAGTAACAGAAATTCTCTCTTTAGAGAACTATTTAAACATGACAGACTTTTTTTAGTCCCTAAGCATTGTTTAAACCAAACTAATCAAAAACATGAAAACATTCTTTCCAAGACAAATTATCATGAGAAAAGCAGTAAATAAGCGATTAATAGTTTAGATGTTTTGTTTTTCAACTAAAATTCTAATAATATTTTGCAAAACTATGGGTTCAAATTTAAAACTTCACCATCAAACATAGATATTTATGCAAGAGATGTAATATTAACCAGTATAGTCTCAGGTTGTCCAGTGAGAAGACATTATCAAATTCCCTGATAATTCCCAGTAAGTCCCATAATTTCCCTGTATCGCAGATGATGTTTAATTTTCAATTTTGTCAACAAGAAATTTTATAATCTAAAATATAATATAACCTATAATTATAATATAAACATATAAACATTATGCATTTGGAAATAAAGTAGATATTATACGTAGTAATGCAAACTTATATTTCTCCTAGTACATAAAATGTTACATAACTTCAACACTGAATAAACAAATACAAGAAATCACTGTATCACAAAAACGTTTATTCTCACATTATTTCACAAAGAATCAATCTGCTCCATTACATTACTAATTTCCTTAGTAGCATCTTTAATTTTAGCAATTTTTTTTCCAATTCTTTCTTGATCATCGCTGTTTTTTTCTTTTTGGCTTCAATAGCCAAATTTTCCTCATCTGCAAGCTTACGCTTTTTTGTATCTTCCTTCATCAAGGAATGAGTATTTCGGAAGGAATGTACAAGTGGTTTTGAAATTTTATACGAATTTACATTTTTTACCATGGAAATAATAGTATCATATACCATTTTCTGTGATATCAAAGTCTCTTCTTTTAAATTTTCTATCAAACATTGAAAGTTTACAGAGAAACCTCTCTCAACGCTTGCATTTCCGTTATATAAACTCATGGTGAGTTTCATGACTTTGGTGATTTCATGGTGGAATTTAAGGAGTTTAAACACATCTCTCCACAACACATCGAGATGACTGTCAGTCCTATTAAATTTTCTCAGCAGCTCTATAACAAGATTTTGTTTCAACGCACTTTTATATTGACGTTCAGCTTCATCAGCTGTTGGTCCATCAATCCAACCATTTTCCATGAGAATTGTAAAGAGATTCTTTATTCTCAACGAAGCCAAGTCGACAACAATTGCCGCATCTGGATTGAAGCATGTCACTGCCTTAGTCAGTGGATAAAGCAACGGTGATTTATCAAATAATTTTGCAACAAAGGACTTGTAACATGCAAGACAATCATTTCGAAATTGTGACACCTCAGTATTAGCAATTTTCTTTTTCTTGTTCCTCTTTTTTAAAGCATTATGTGCAGCATAGCCTAAATCAATTTTATCTGCAGGTAAAAAGTTCTCTTTATTGCTAAAATCTATTTTATGTAGGTAATTTTCTTTTATGATATTATCTTTAACAATTTTACTAATAATATTCACGCAAATAGAATGCAGAGAACTATAGAGAAATGGAACAAGTGGGGTGTCTTTTTTGGAACTCCTCTAAAAACGGCTCTACTTCAGCAATAAGAGACTTGAAAAATTGTAGTTTTGCCTCTAATAGTGGATCTTTAATAATTGCACAAACATTAATAAACGATTAAGTCCATAAATTATCTTTATTCAGCTTCACTCCAGATATAAATTTCTTCAGGTGGGGAATCATATCTATGGCACGTTGAGCAACATCTCCATTCTGCAGCCATCGTACAGGACAAAATGTAATTGGAAATACATTCGAGCCCGTATATTGTACAAACAAGGCACGACGTGGCGGAACATCTTTAAATAAGTTGTACAGTGACCGCAAAAACTAAATCAATGACCAATTTGTCATCCTGGTTCCCGTTTTGAAAGCTCCATGTAAAACATGCAATCCACAGCTGCCCATATTAAGAATGATCAGATGGCCGTCCTGGCTTTCGTCTCTTATCTCGGCTTTTAAATCCTTAAAAAATTTATGACAATTGGGCCATCCATAGAAATTTGCACCATTTTTGATATATTCAAAATTGACAAAGCCTCTTTAAAATTGCGCCTAATTTCGTCTGCTGTGGTGCGACTTAAAAATGCGTAAGTTAAATATCTGGTGCAAACAAGTTCTTGCTCATTACACCAGAACCTTACATTTATGTCCATCTGAGTCTTTTTGGAAACCTTAAGAGATTCATCGAATCCAACAGTGAAAAACTCGTATTTCGAAATATTTGTTATCAGTTCTGTTTTGAAATATGGAGCAATACCATATAGAATAGAATATGCTATTTTACTTTTTTTTAGTTTAATGCTTTTGGCAATCTTGCTATCTGGAAATAAAAGCTGAAATAATTCTACATCCTTCTCTGACATCCTAACAGATTTATGAGTAACAACGGTGTGAAGACACCATAAAATTTCTGCTTTCCATATGCTTTCCAGACACCATAAAATTCCTCTTTAAAATTGCGCCTAATTTCGTCTGCTGTGGTCCGACTTAAAAATGCGTAAGTTAAATATCTGGTGCAAACAAGTTCTTGCTCATTACACCAGAACCTTACATTTATGTCCATCTGAGTCTTTTTGGAAACCTTAGAGATTCATCGAATCCAACAGTGAAAAACTCGCATTTCGAAATATTTGTTATCAGTTCTGTTTTGAAATATGGAGCAATACCATATAAAATAGAATATGCTATTTTACTTTTTTTAAGTTTAATGCTTTTGGCAATCTTGCTATCTGGAAATAAAAGCTGAAATAATTCTACATCCTTCTCTAACATCCTAACAGATTTATGAGTAACAACGGTGTGAAGACACCATAAAATTTCTGCTTTCGTAACATCATCTCTTAAAAGGAATGATTCAAGACCTTGTCTTGTAGAAGGGGTAGACAATATTGGATCATTTAGGGATTCGACAGAACTGCTGCCACTCTCAATAGTTTTATTAGAAGACTCTATGCTTGGTGCTTTCCCATTGTCAGAAGTGAAAAATTTTAATGGTAATGTTCCTTGCATTGCTTTCATTCTTTTTACATGCTGTGCGCTTTTGGCATGGCTTCTAAGAGCGCGGTGGCCCATATTACTTAGTGAAAATGTTGAATGGCAAACAACACATTTTGCTCTATGGTTGTCTGATTCAACCTCCTTAACCCAGTCTTTGAATTCTGGATTATGAAGCCAATCCACTTGGAAGCGAGCAGCCATACAATTGTTTTATCTGCAAATAGAGTAAATATTCAATATAATGCTCATATATTGTGTGTATGGTATAATTTTAAAGAAATAGCAAGAATTTTTTTTTAAAAAAAAAAACTCTGTAGTTTGGAGAATCATTTATTTTTTCTATGCTGCTTACTATTAAATGGAATACTCATTGCATAAGATGATATTTGTATATCCCTTGTTTAATACCACTCTAGTATTTTTAAATTATTGTTGATTTAAATCATTGTTTTTTTAATGATATAATGAAAGCAACATTCAAGCAAATATTAATTTGCATGTATATTCTTTATATTTCTCTGGAGAAAGCATCATTATCATTGATATATTTTTTAAATTATATTTAGAAAAAAATCTATTTAAATAATTTTTTTAGAAAAAAAATGATGATTGATTTAAATCAATAGTTTTTTTCTAATAAAATAATGAAAGAAATATGCTATTGAATACATTTACATGCATACTGCATTTATCATATGTATTAGTAAAATACCATCATTACCATTGAAATCATTTATTCAATTATTATTGTTTGTATTTAATAATAAAACTTCATTTCATTCTATTCAAACTAAAACTATTTATATCTTATCATAAAAATTAATTTTTTACAAGAAAGATGCTTAAAAAAGCTTGGATTTTAAAAAAAAAAAAAACATTAGGTTTTAAACAGTGGTTTGAGTAATGGTTTAAACCAGTCAACCCAGCAATAAATTATTAAACACATATTTACAATTCTAAAATTAAATAAAATATTGATGGTTTCATGTAAGAATTTATTAAATTTTTTCTTGTCTTTAATACATGAAAAAAAATGTTTTTTCTTTGTTCATTCAGAGAGTTTTTTATTAAAATTCTGTAAATACGAATTAGCTGGATTTTTAAACCACGTGAGTACAAATTGTGAAAAGTTTTAAAAAGCGCAAAAAATAATCTTGACTAATGATTTATAATTTGCAGAAAAGCGAATCGTGATGCTTTACTTATAGATAAAATGTAGTCGATGCAGCAACCAAAATCACATGTGTGACTAAATTAGTCCTTGAAAATTATATATATAAAAAAAAACATTAATCCCCCTTTCATTAAATAAATGAATATTTAAATATTAGAGATAATAAAATTAACGGCTGCAGGAATAATTTTTTAAGAACTGGTCAGTTTCCTGACAACGAAGCTGGAAAGCCGTTAGTTATATTTTATACTCCTAAAGATTTTAACTTTTTTTTGTAGTTAAAATATCAAAAACAATATTTAAAATTTTCTGAAAAAGAATAAGAAAGAATATTAATTAAATAAAGAACTATGCCATCACGTGAAAATTGTAAATTTAGTTTATCGAAAAATCAACCTGCCGTAAACGAAAATAAGTTAAAATAAACACAAATTTATTGGAATAAAAATAAAATAAAGTTTATTAGAATAAAAATAAAATAAGCTATAAGAGCGTAACGAACAAAAATCTTCCATGCGGAGTTAATATTACGCAAAAATTAGCTTTTCTGTTATACATTCTTTAGAACTTATTTCTTAATGACATTATGTATATAAGACCTTAAAAATGAAATTAAGCAAATATTTTAAGATAATTTTAAATAAATGCTTAATAGTTATAATTTTTTTAAAAATAAGATAAAGAACTTACCACAGCTCCTTAGAAACAGACGCGAACACATGCACGATCCTTCTGACTCAGATGCAAAGCTGCATGTAGAAGTTCCACGTGACGATGTTGGATAGGAAATGACGTCAGCAACTTCAGGGTGACAGCTACTTACCGCACGGGAAAGAAAACTTGTTGGTGACGTCATCCATTACGAAGCGTAACGCCGCGGTTTGAAGCATTCGGCGATTGCTGGCTATTTGAATACTTTTCCCTGATTTACAAAGATTTCAGAAAAATTTCCTGATATATCCCTGATATTTCCATAATTAAAAAATTCCTTGATAATCCCCGGTTTTTCCTATCACTGGACACCCTGAGTCTAAAGAAAAAAAGTATAGTGTAAAAGTAAAATCTTAAAATGAAATGGGGATAGTTTGCTCTAACCTTTTAATATGCCCATCTCTAAAAAAAACTTATAAGAAAATTTCTGCATACTTAATCTAAAAATACTTCACATAATATATTTATTTGAAAATAAAAATTGGTTGCATATCATGATATGTATTATGATGATAAATATCCGTCAATATATTTTAACAAATACTGAAGAGATTACAATCCAAATAAACTATGCAGTGTGTATAATGGGTATGCATAGTAGGGTGTATCAAACACCCTTCTACAAACAAATCACTTTGTCCTCCATCTAAACATATTCCATTTCTTTTTTTAAAAAGATTAACACATAAAAGATTTCAATTATCTAAGAAATTTTAGGGTATCCATGGCAAAATCAAAATTTTAGATTTTGATTAATCATTAAATTCAGAATTTTTTATACTCAGTTACATAAATATTTTATTAAAAAAAATTTAATAATAATCATTTTAGTAATAATAATTATTTGCATCAATGACTAATATAGTTCTCTAGCAGCATTTACATCAATTATATTCAAATAAAGTTATCGACATAGCTAAAAAAAAAGTGACTACAATTGAAACTTATATATAATGTAGTGTTTCTTTTTTGTTTTAACTTGGAATTTTATTTAAAACTGATTTTTATATTTTATTTGAATAAGTATCTTACATAAGGCTTGATCAAACTTTCTAATTTTTGTTTCAAATTATATTCCAATCTTGATTTAAATAGACATTCTACCTTTGGCTTGAAGGGCTATTTTACTTTTGATTATAATAGTACATAACTTTAGTTTGAAAAGATTTACTATGTTTATTTAGCTTTATATTTTAATTTGGCCACAAAGGCTCAACTTGGAAACTAGACAGTTTCCAAATATTTTTACTCTTGATAGAAAGGTAACTTATGATTCAATAATAAGTAGCACTAGACTGCTAACTAATTTGCAAATTTTGAGGTGTAAGGTGTATCATATTAAAAAGGGCCTCCATGAAAACAGAACTACATGGCAATCCTCAAACCTACTGCTTTCCCAAATAAAAGTATTTTGTGAAAAAGCAAACATTCCAATGATGAATAAAGGAAAAGCTTGCGGGAAAAAAAAAACTTCTTTGCCATAATGCAAAATGAAAAATCCAAATCCATCCAAACTTTTGGTCAATGCATAATGACCATTTGACAACAGTTGAACCAAATGACATAATTCTTAAAAGAAAACTGAAATTAAAAGAAAAATAGTTACAGCTACAAGAAAGATGAAAGAAAATTGCAAAGAGAAAAGTTAGTTCCAACCTAATAACAAATGATATTTCCAATTTGACTGATAAAAAAAAAAAAAATTTAATAAAAACAGGAAACTAGTAGTATTTGCATTAAGAACCCTCAAGCAAGTACTTGAATAAATCATTAAAATAAAAGAGTAAGAACAAGTTTTTAAGTCCTATATAGCATTATAATATAAGTTAATATTGCTTTATAGGTCACATGCTTACATATGACTCTAGGACAGTAGTATGTATAAAACCACCAATTACAAAACAAAGAAGGCAGACAGCTACTATAGCAAGATCTTTATGCAACAGCAAGCAAACTGTAAAGAAGATTATAACTACTTGCTAGGAAGAGTGGTACTTTCCTAAATACTCGTATGCAATGAGATTCAAAACTTCCAATAACACTGATCAATAAATACAGAATGTACTATTGTACAATAAATATAAGAATTGAAACCTTGACCCTATAAAATGTTAGGTAAGTCCATAACTGTCAACTTAATATATGAACTGCTCACTTCTTGGCATTTTACACAAACAATTTTGAATATTACATTCGATACAAATTCTTCCTATAGTAGCCATGTCCCCGCTGCATATGTCAGTCTGCAATGGAAATTGGGACAAGCACTTTTTTGGTAAGCTTGTCACTGTCATATTGACAAAATCATTTTGCCTCATGTTTTTGATGACTTAAAGATTGAGTCTTCTAAGTCACCAGACATAACAAAGCACAAACAATTTTACGATAATTTTGATGAACAAAATTGAAACAATATGACAAAGTCACTGAATGTAGGAAGCACCAAACTATTGTACACAATTAAAATTTCTGTGATCAACAAATACAACAACTACTAACTGTCACAATAACTTCAAAACAACAGTTTGCAAAACTGCCTGACTTGACTTTACCAACTTAGTCACTTAGTTCCAGGTGGATAACTTGCAGTTCTACCATAAATGTACCTTAGAATGACATGCTATTACTTTGCTCCCTTATAAAACTCAAGTTTGTCTTTACCATTATATCTGAAAGTCAAATTAATGCTTTTGTAAAATCACTACTGGTTATCTTACCGAAGAGATGTTACCACTTGCTCTTTGGGGCAGCAAAGTTTCACCGGGGAAACAGAATGCTTTAAAAAACAGTTTCACTGATACTTTTTTTAAATTGTAAATATATAGAATGAATTTTAGAAAACCCAAATTTCAAAATATAATTTCAGTGCAAATATCTTTCTTTCTAATTTATCTGGAGCAGAATTTTGGTTTTTAATTTATAAACTAGAACTTGACTCAAAGTTTTAACAGATGTTTTCGAATGAATAAATTCTGAAATTTATACCATATCATTTATAAAAATATGTCTATGACTATGAGGAACAAAGAGTCTAGAGAAGGATTAATAAAACATAGGATAAGTAACATAGGATTGACAAAATGTAAAAAACATTAACAAAATATATTCTGTAGGTCTTTGAGCAACATTGACAAAAACTAAGATATCTGCCAAACCATCAAACTTTACTTGAACTTAAATTGAGTGTAATTGTATAAATTCAATGGAAAATTAAAACTAACTCTATATTATATTATTTTATTATATCCTTCAAAAGATTTAAGTTCAATATTTAATCAGAAAATATATTACTTTGATTTTATTTATTACATGCTTTTTTCAGAATTTCAATTTTCCATATTATGTTCGTAGGACTGGTGGATTACCTAAATGTCATTTTAATTTAATAAAATTTTGTGCATATTTTTTTAGTATTTTGAACAAAAATAACATAGGGACAAGCAACTTTTAAGACATTTGAAAAACATGGAGCATTTGACGCATGATAATTATATATTACACATAATTTTATTTATAAATTTAAAAGTGATTAATTAAAATTTACAAAACAGTTTCTTTTTTTATGAAGCACTACATATTTAGTTATTTTAAACTAAATTTTGCTTTTATAAATAAAACAGAAAGATTTTTTTATTTCAGATATTTTTGTATGTTTAGTTGTTCACTTATAAAACAAATAAATTTGCACACTTATAAGTTTGTACACTTATGAGTTCGTACATCTATAAAAAAATATAAGTTATAATTTCAAAGAACAAATTGATTTGATAATTAAAAAGAGAACAAAATTAAAAATGTAATTTGAACAAGTAAAATGTGGAAAAATCCACCAAGTGGGTTTAAGGATGGTTTTTTTTAAGTGGTGAAAAGATGGGGTTTTTTTTAGGCTGGGCCCACTTAAACTCTAATATAGTAGAACCAGTCTTACAATTCTAAAATTTACCCTTTATTTTTATCAAAAGACTTGAAAAGAGCAAAAAACACAAACACAATGAACAATCACACATTAAAGTCATCATATCAACACATTTTGTCAGCAGAATAAAATCAGTTGTGGAAGTATATCTTAAGGTTGATAGCCATGGTTACATTGGTGGCAGCTTAAAGCGCACCTAGCTTCAGATCCATGGTTATAATTACTAGCTTGCTGGAGATGTAAAGGTGTGTGCTAGCCATCATGCTTTGTGACCATCATGTTGCTGATCTAAAAATTTTGAAGCCTTAACTTCTAAACCCTTCCTGCCCAAGAACTTGTTGTTGTGGGAGTGCTTTATTTTCTTTTACCAGACATTAAAATAATAAAAATTTAAGCTTTTTATTTTATAAATTTATTACCTCTTAATATAACAGTATACCCCTTTCCAACAATGTCTTCATTTTATCCCCAAAATATTATTTTAACAAAGTTTTACAGAATTTGTACAGCTTCCACCAAAAATATTTTTATTTTAATATTTACATAAATATCATAATATGTGCGAAACCTGTTTATATATAGAAATTATATGCTTAATCCTGATGAGTTTTTTAATATTTTCTTAAACATTTTTAAAACAAAAACTACATCACTTTTTTTAATATAAGAGCATAACAAAACTTAACATAAATAAGCAACGATAATATTGTTACTATTATATTACAACATATTGTTTCTGCTATAATTTCAACTTTTATGACCATGTATAAAAATGAATATCTAAATATTTCTAAGTTATTCACAGGAACTGTATCAAGTTTATGAAATCATCAAGCAATACACTTTCAGTTTATATTTTAGCAACTTTATAATAAAAATAAATATTATATAAAATATAAAATAACATGAACATAAAATAACAGTGCATGAAAAAGTTCATATGAAACAATTGAATGAATTTAAAGAAAAAATATAAGTATAAAGATGCAAGTTTAGAAAGTAGTCTAATAATAAATCAAAGTACTTACCTAAGGGCAGAAAATCCACCAAACAATGCTCCTGACGCCAAACCAACACACATACCAATTCCAAATCCCATTTTCATTCTATCAAAACAACTGGGACCTTGAGAATAAGACGAAGGTGGTGCAACAGGCATTTTCTCTATAAACAAATAAAAATGTAAATAATAATAAGATAGCAAAATTAAAATTCAATAGAAATAGTACAAGATCATCAGGGAGAGTTATTAATTAACTCCATAAAGCTTTGTTCAAAGCAATTTCTTTACAGCTTACAATTTTGTTCAATGTGGAATATTATTAAGACCCTAAAAATATGTTTGTACATATTATTTTAATCCTTTATTAGAATACAGTTTCTATGGGAGGAAAGAAATCCCATAAGTCAAAACATTGCCAAGCTTTTCTGAATAATTGTTACAATCTTTTGCTTGAAGATTATTCAATCAATTAATATATAGTTATACAATTACTCTAACACCTGTTTAATAATAAATTCCTTTACTTTTTTTTAATTTGAAAATCATATAGTTATTATGTCAAAATAGAAAATTGCTGTTTGTGTTTTTAAAAATTAACCTTCATCTTATAGTACAGGGTGCATAGCCAAATCTCTCAACAAAAAACAAGCACCTTTTAAGCACTCAAAAAATATTTTTAAGCACTATTTACATTAACAAAATGCAAAATTTCCAGACTTTACGTGATCATGATAAAATAACTAGTTCTTTACAAAAAACTCTTTTCTTTATAAAATGATCAAGATATTTTTGGTTTGATATTTGAGGGTGGAAAATGAAGCCTGAAATTGAGAATATCTTGCAAAATGCAGCAGAATGCAATTATCTCACTGAACCCTGCTCAGTAGACGCACATGCAGACTCGCAAATACTTCATCAAACATCTAAAATGATTAGCGCTTTCATACCCAATGAACCGACGGGATGCCGAAATAGATCGTGGTGGAATTAATTGTGAAAACATTGAATAGAGCAATGTAAAAAGCACTCTTTTGCATAATATGGGGTGAAAATCAACATGGTAAAAAAAAAATCTCTTTTTTGAAAAGGTAAAATTAAGCACTTTTTAAAAACACCCAATGAAAAATGCACTTTATGAGATTTTAAAAAACGAAAATCGAAAACAAGCACCATGTACTACCAGACCTCCAACCTTTTCTTGTTTTAAGTTGAGTAGAGTTGGTTTTGCAACTAACAACTGCCTAGTAGTAACAGTAAAATAAACTTACAACCAAGAAATTGGTTAATAAAATCTGTGAATTAATGATAGTACACCACGTAAATATTCATCTTTTTTCTAGAACTATATATATATCCTACATATATTAGTGATGGCATCCACATCTCCACTTTTATATTTTCTGCATACCGGCCAATCCTAATTTTTTTTTTAAATTGCAGATAATTCACTACAAAATTCAGAAGAAATGACTAAAATGCAGGATATATCATGCGGTTCAAAACTCTTACGTAAATTTATAAAAATTAAGAACTGAATTATTTAACAATAAAATATTCAATATTTTTTTTATTTTAGAACAAAAAAAATTCTTCTCTTGATTATTTCAAACAGAAATTTTGACCCACTATTACGAAATAAAAAAATCGTTTGCTCTAAAAATAATGTTCTTTTCCTAATTTTATCTTCCATTTAAAATATGATGCAATGAGACTAATTTTGGATTGACAATATAACATCCTCTGAGTGCTGTAATCAATTCAAATTAGTAACAAAAGAATAATTAGTTCAGTCAGAGTGATATATTTGTTTCCCCGATTATTTCAAATTTGGTTAAAATAGAATTAATTGAGCATGACTTTACAGCCACACACAAATTTTGAATCAAGCAATTGTTTTAAAACCACATGTTTTCTTATACCCTTCAACACTATGATTTTCAAATCGCATTGAGCCTAAGTGCAAATATGTGACTTTTCAATGATTTTTTTTTTTCTTTTTGTTGGCAAACTGATTTCAACATTTATAATTTGGTTATTTAGCTACGTTAATATTTCCCATGATCTTATAAATTTTCTGGCTATCTTGTTAATTTTTATTACAAGCAAATTACATATCGTGCACTTGTAATAATACGATTAATTCACATTAACTCCATTGTGTTCTATGTGGTCTAGTCTAATGACTGTAATTGCAATGGATTTCCACATGATTTATGAAATCCTTATTTTTACTTCAATTTTATTATAACACACGAATTTCAAAACATGCATTTCAGTTCTCTGCAAAACATTTATTCTTCAATCGCATCTCACATGGCACTGACCAATGGTTTACATTGTTATGGTTGCGGATTTTTGTATGACAATTAAAAACATCATAATTTTTAATGCTATGTTATTATGACACACAAATTTCCATTTGATTTTATTATGATCTGACGTGCCAACTACACTTGCAAAGATGACAAATAGATTTAAAACTTGCAATTTTTAAAAATAAAAACCTATAGATGTCTGACCAGGGGTGACTACAGATTATACCTTTCAAATTGGTCCCTTTCCATGTTTTTTTTTTTTTTAATTTCCAGGGTTACCGGTCAAATCTGGAGAAAAATTAATTTCAGCGTTTTCCCTATACAATTAAACACAATACAGTAGAGAACCATTTATCCAGTATCCAGATAACCGGGAAAAATTTTGCCCGGTTTTCCCGCCATTTTAAACTAGAACGATTATGAAAGAAAAAGCGGAAATTGGACTCATCCTTGAAGTTGAGTAGAGGAAAATGTAAGGAAGGGGAGAATTTTTTTCCCCGTTTACCCAGAGAAACATCATTTCCTCCGTGACCTTGAAGGCAGGGAAGGGAGGAATGTTTCATTTTCTCTGTCAATCAAAGTCAAAGGTGCGGCATGCTGATTTCGCTTTCTGTTTGATTTACGAGGGGGGTTGGGAAAATGCATTGCATGCATATCAGTGAACAGAAGATGAAAGAGAAAAATATATTTATCTATTTGACATCGATTAATAAAAATAAAATCTTTTTCTTTTGAATAAATTCTCATTCTTTGGAAGTGCGATATCATTTGCAAGTTTTTCTTGATGTGGAATCACATCTGCTGTAATTAAAAATCGTGTTCTTATCAACAAAAAAATAAAATAAAAAGATAATTGTTTATTAATTTAAACATAGGATTATTTCATGAAGCAGATTGCAGTTTTGTTTTTCTGATTCCACTACGTTTGATATTTTTTTCTTTTCATGATAAATTTCGCACTCAATAAATTCTTTTTATTGATAAATTTTATCATTAGGGTTTTTTTAAATTCCGTTGATCTTGCCTTGTTCCAGGTTTTAATATTTACGCTAGTGTTTTTTTTAACTATCGTTTCGGTTCGATAATTTTCAAGTGTTTTTTATTTAGATTAATAAGTTTTCTTTTTATTTTATCGTTTCCCCCTGTATAATTAGGTATAAAATATATTACGTTATTTAATCATTGGTTTTGTTTATATTAGTTAATTTAAGAATTGTAATTATTTTTAAAAAATAAATAGGAGAATTTTGTATTTTTTAAACTTGTTTTTCTTGCCTAAACTTGTAAATTTTTTTATTCCTTTAAATGCTATTTTTCTAGCATTTTTCTTTTCTTTTTAAAGTTAGGAGTACCTTTCTTTTTTCTCTTACTTTATGCATTACACTTTTTTCTTGTAATTGGGGTTTGATAAAACATCGATTAACGACACTTTTTGGTCGATCCAGAAAACCGGGAAATTCAGACATCCAGGATGGCGATGTCCCGAGCATCCCGGATAATTGGTTCTCTACTGCATATTAAGAGGAAAAACAATTACTGCTCTCTTATATGAATTATATTGTGTTAACTATACAAGTTTTAAATGCTATAAAAACTTTCCTCAATTAAAAAAAAACTTTCAATTGAAAAAAAAAAAGAACAGCTGAACATCCCTAAATAATGCTAGAATAAATGAAATAGTTTAGTATAATTCAGTGTTTTCACTACAGCGTGAAAACGCGAGAGTCTCGCATATTTTTTTGTTTTCTCGAAATAAAAAAAAAGATTAACGCGAGAAGTTCGTGCACTCTATTAATCAATTTCAAAATGAGCGAATTCTGGAAAAAATTTCGTCTTTTGTCGTTTTGAATAAAATCTGTTTCACTTTTCTTCCTTGATCTTGCATTATTTTGAACATCGGCCATTGTTATCTAGCTTCCCTATTTACCAGTATTGGTCAGAACTGGTGCGAACAGCAGAACACCTCCCCCCCCCCCCGNCATTTCTCTGCAACCAGGTGTTCACCGTAGGTAAGGTTTCTTCATGTAAAATGTTTACATTTCTTGTGCATGAATGTAAGATGGACAAATACCTTGTTAAGGCAACATCTTCTACTCCGTAACGGACAAATGAAAATGAAACAAATGTCGGTAGAAACGGTCAAAACGAAACAAATACAGATATTTTTCAGTCAAATAAATATAATAGCTGATGAAAAAGTAGACATAGAACATTTTCCAAATGATGATGCAGCAAAAGTATTCAATTAGAAGATGTAAAATATATATTATAATTAAAGAAATAATTTTTTTCCAATTCTATTCGTGTTTTTTTAATTTTTAAAAACCTCACTTAACTTTTTGAAATCTCACCCTGTTTTTGAGAAAGGGAGAGAAATTCTCTCCCATTTTCTTTCTGTAATGAAAACACTGATAGTTGGAATACCATCTTTAAATATCCCATAGATTATGTATTGAGTGGTCACCATTTTTCAAAAGACGAAAATAAGAAACAAAATTCCCTGTATTTTCCCAGCTTGTAAAGAAAAAATCAAAATTCCCTACAATTTTTCCTTTATTTTAGGTGATTTTTAAATTGCCAGCATTTTCCTGGTTTTCCCTGAGGAGTAACAAACACTCTCATGGGCAGCTGCTCAGAAGTTACCAAGACTTGTCGATTATTCTGCCCAAGATTACGATACAGAAAACTCTCATTAATAAAAATCAAAGCGGATTTATTGACTGCATTTCCGACAGCTATTACTATAGATTCTCATAGGGTTTTTAAAATTTGTCCTTTTTTTGACAAAACTGTATTAGGCGATTACAAATATGTTCAAATTAAATATAGTGATCTACATTACATCACCGATTACATCAGAAGGTTTATTAATATTGGATATCACTTTACATTGTGTTCTGTATGCTTAAACAATTATAATTTTTTTTAATTCTAAGCATTCGCATTTTATAATACTTAATAGGAAACAAACACTAAAAATGTATAAATTATGCTGAGAGATTGAACACTTTTAAGTTAAAATATTCTATAAACATTCCAACAATATTTGGAAACTCAAGGAAAGGAAAGGAAAAAACGTGAGATTATACAATAGAAGAGCAAAAAGAAAGAAAATATACTTATTAAGCACGTAAAAACTTCCAACAATACTAATTCTGATAAAGTATTGGAAATCTTCTAATTTATAACAGCAAAATGGTATTATTTCTAATCTCGTGTAATTTAAATAAGCACTTGCAAAAGCGGTAAGTTGGTATACTATCTTAGTATTTTATCTTACCTTACCAGAAAGTATTTAGCTTAATACTTACATTGAAAACTTAAAACTGTACGATAAGGGCGACATCTATAAAATTTTCATAAAGTTATTGGCGGTTGCAACACTCGAATACGCCATCTAGGGAAAGACCGGTTTCATGCCTTTAGCCCTTGTCCTTTTCCTCTCCTCCTCTTCTCAGTTGTATGGATGGGTGGTTAATGTAAACAATAACAAGCGTCCTTAAACCGGAAGAAATTTAGAAAATTTCCGGTGTATTCCTCCACTTATATATTGTTGTTGTTATAACACGAGCGATTAATTCTCACTTGGGCCGGATCACGCTATTGGTCGAAAATGACATCACTGTTTGGGGGAAGGGAGATGGTGGCTGTTGGCTGGTGTTTGTATGAGTTTAGCGACAAATTTCGTATGCACGCTTGCTCGCTCGGAATTTATTTATTCCTTGCAAATGTTTACATAATATTATGTCGTCGTTAGGGTGGGGAGATAGGTAAATGTCCACTTCAGCATTTCAGACAATATTTATGTTTTAATTGATTTAAATTCATCAAAGCTAAAAACACTAAAAATAATGAATGTTTTTACAAATATAAGATGGTATAGTAAAATTACAAATACGTTTTTTTTTTTTTTTTTCGTTTGCTTGCTTTTCCGTAAGAATTATCTTTTGCAGTTATAAAGTAACAAAAATTGAAATAAACATAACCTCAAATTTACTCATACATCGCAATTTAGTTGTGTTATGAATAATTTTAAAAACTTCATAATCAAGCAACACGTAAATTTAGTTTAAAGTAATGACCAAAATTCTGGGCTAGCCTCCCCTCCCCCTGCATTTCTAGAACAGCCCCAGTTGCTAATGACGTAAAAGCAGTATAGCTTAATTTCACTTACTTAGATTCTAATAAAAAATTACCACAAAACTGTGCAAAATGTGAATATTGTCTTTATTACTCAACATTAATACCACGTGTGAATAGAGCGCATTTGAAAACTAAATATAAAATTTGTCGCCAAATCAAGATCTGTCGTTAAAATACTATGCAATACACAGTATATTCCTTCCCCAAACAGTTATGTCATTTTCGACCAATAGCGTGATCCGGCCCAAGTGAGAATTAATCGCTCGTGTTATAACTACGAGGCGATGTGTGAACAAGCCTAATATNAGCCAACAGCCACCATCTCCCTTCCCCCAAACAGTGATGTCATTTTCGACCAATAGCGTGATCCGGCCCAAGTGAGAATTAATCGCTCCTAGAAAATTTGAAACCCGACTTGGCGAATGTAAGATTGGCGAATTTCAAAATACGGTGCCAAAGAAGTGCCCGGGAGTCGACAATGTGTAAAGTCGCCCCCCGGANCCCTCTCCTCCTCTTTTCAGTTCCATAGGAATGTACTACGATATTTTACCTTTTCTTAGTATTTTACCTTTTTCTTCACTAAAAATATTTTTTTAAATTTCCGTGATACTTTTCTTTAGAACTATCTTTAATGTCGTTTTCAGTTCCATATAGTTTTCAAACTTAAAAGATTTTAATTTATATGAAAATCGAGAGAGAAACTAACTTTCTTCCTTCCTCTATGACTTTCCCCACGCTAATGGGGAAAGCATGTGAAGTGATGCCATAGGTAAAGAGTTCTGCTCTACGCCACCTGCAGCCCATTTCGATCACCAATAGCCTACCTTTGTTAGTAGAAATATTGTTGACGCAGAAGTTTTATTTTCGTTTTACATCTTTCTAAAAAAAAGTTAGGATTTTATTTCGTTTACTTGTTTTTCAATACTATGGATTCGGTGGAAAAAAAATTTTTTTTTAGAATATTTTATTGAATCTCTTTTTGTTTATTGCAATATTTCCAAATTGATTGAACATCAGTTTTCAAACATTGTTAGGTCGATCTGGGGGTCCCTTAAAAGAACAATTTTTTTTTCTTTTTTTTTCTTTTGATTTTTCAGAAATGTCACAGGCTTTTATTAATTTCATGAATTCGCTACTTGATATGTATAATTTAATAAAAATTTCAAACATTCTTTAATAAACTATATATTTTACACAATTTTTAAATTTACGTAGTAAATGTCCTACTCAAATTTAAATAATGCTTTTATTAAATCATTATGCTGTTTTAAATTCCATAACGGAAAACAAGGTTATTCATTTTTTAAAAAAAATATAATTTATTGTTTTTTGAGGTTTAATGGTTCAATCTCTTTTAATAGTCGTTTGGGCAATTGTAAGCACATAAAATAGAAAGATAATACTCCTGATATGTTTGATTTTTACTTTCACGACATAAAAAAATTTCCTGAAATAAAAATGGATAGAAAGATATAAGAAACGCATAGATTTTTCTTAGAGCTACATTCAGATCATTCAGAATTAATGCGTGCACATGCCTTAAAATTATCACTCAGTAAAAATGATCCTTTGAATCATAGACATTATAATCATAGATATTATCTTTGAGATATTATTATTTATGTCACTACTTCTTACTATTTAAGTTTACAGTATATGTTAAGATGGTCAAGTTTGGACATGACTCAATAAATTTAATGATATTAAATAAGTTTGTTTTTTTAATTAACGTGCTGCTTCAGTAGTATTACAAATTCTATGTAAGTAACACAGGCTCAGTTAAAGAGCATAATTTTTTTTCATAAGTTGCAGTTTAGCACTTCTAAGTAATTTTTAGAACACTACTACTCTTCCTTCTAAAATTTATTTCGATACGAATAAAATAATAAATCGACATTATTTTAGGAGGTTTGATATTCTACTTAATAATTACTTGCAACTAAGCAAATTTATAAGAGAATAAGAAAAATCAGTGCTGCCTCTTATGAAATCCAGAACTTTACTTTATATAGCCCATTATAAAATGAGATAGGTTGAACCATCAAAATAATTTCTAGAAACTTTATTATAAGTATTTTTTTAGTTATCTCAAAGTTATATATTCTTAATAAAGATTATTTAAATTTATTTTTAATTTTTTAGAAGTAAGAAACTCTTTAAATGGATGGTGTTTTCAAAATGAATGTAAACAACAACAATCCCGAACTCTTGACCTGCTCTACTTCCGGATAGAAAGTATACAGCTGCTTACTTTAACTTATTCTGATAGGCAATATTTTGTTGTTGTTGTTGTTAATTTGCGTCGCACTAGAGCTGCACAATGGGCTATTGGCGACGGTCTGGGAAACATCCCGGAGGATGATCCGAAGACATGCCGTCACAATTTTGATCCTCTGCAGAGGGGATGGCACCCCCGCTTCGGTAGCCCGACGACCTGCACGCGAAGTCGAGCACTTTACGGTAGCACAGTTTAACGAGGACCAATACCGCACACCCTCGGTTCCTACGCAGACTGATTCAAGTGGTCACCCACCCGCACACCGACCGCGGCCAGTGATGCTTGACTTCGGTGATCTGCTGGGAACCGTGTCTTAACGATCAGTCCACTGCGGGACGCAATATTTTCAAATTGATAATTTTGTTTTTAATAAAATAAATAAATTATATAATTTCTGAGCTAAAATCTACTGTTCTTCATAAGATATTAATGATATTAAGCAATTCTGGTGAGTTTGAAGTGAAAATTTGTTTTAGTTATTTAGAGATGTATTGTTAAAAAATGTGACATGGTTGCTAGATTTAGAAGGAACTCGTTTTTTGGCTGTCCTCACGACCTCTTTCTACTTATTCATTACTGTTTCCTCTTGTTGCAAGCTGTGCACCCTCATACTTTAATCTTAACATTTTAATGGAGCAGGAAGATTAAGTTCATTTTACAAATTATCCTTTAGGATTAAATTTTGAAGTTGGTGTATTGCTTACAATGTAGGAAGTGTTTCATAACGATTCTTTTTCTTGAATGACACTTCTTACTTTTTGAAATGACAAGTCTTCAAATGACTATTTTTATAACGATTCTTCTCTTAAGCACAAATAATAAATCGGATAACAAGTAAACGTATACAAGAAATACTACTCAAGAGAATTTCAAAACACAATGATCACGTTGTGAGCCAAATGACTTCAAAATACGCCAAAAACAGTAACCCGGAAGTATAGACAGTCAAGTGTATAAAACACCATCCATATTCGCATAAGGCCTGTTTAAACGATCCAATTTCTTGGACAGAGATTGATTAATATTGATGGAAACTTGTTTCGCTTTGAGCTTGGATCGTGTAAACAACCATCCAAGAACTTGGTCCAACTTCTTGGACGATAGTAGAGCATGTTCAACTTTCTATCCAAATTTTTTTCTCCCCTAACCAATCAGCGTCTTAGGTTTTGTGACTTCAACAAGCAGGCAGCAAATTATGTCAGTTTGTTGTCTGTTTTGATATATTTTAGTCCAAACAAATTGATCTGTTGCGGTTTACTTGTGTTATTATGATTTTATTTGAATTTATTTAGTAATTTTTAACTTATGTAAGTATTATTTTATAATGTTGAATATGAACAATGCGCATGCGCAAGTTTTTCTTTCAACGAATCAGTGACATTCAAGAACTTGGATAGTGTCAACGAATCATCCAATTTCTTGGACAGAGAAATCCGTCCAATTTCTCGGATTCAAGAAATTGGACCGTGTAAACAGGTCTTTATGTTATGCTTCTGCTTAAACAGACTTGATATTTTAGGAAGTCTTGTTATTGTAATTTTTTATCAAATTTACATGAAATTTGATAAAGAAAACCCTTAAGTCTTCTGTAATTTAAAAATTCTAACAGGTCGTAGGCCGAAAACAAACTGATAAAAATTAATATCGCGACATTATTAAAGTACTTTATTTTGTGACGTTTTCAGTGTTATCCCTTACTTGGCTATAATTGTGAAAATATCGGCGGTTGTTACTTTTTGGGTAGCATCATAGCAGGCATGTGAGGTCTTTCAAATATATTTGTGATTTGTTTCAGTGAAAGTTAAATTTAAAGAATGTGTAATTGTTAGCACTACAAATATAATAGTACTGAATGGCGCACGTTTCCAAGCTTCAGAAGAAAAAAAAATTAATTGGAAATTTTAACCCGGAAATCTTACGGCGAATTTCAACCCCTAGCAACACCCGTGCTTCGCTTTATACGGTCAACCATCCATATTTTAACCTTCCGTAATAGTTTTCGTACTTAATTGTCAAAAATAGTTTCTAAATTTTTGTGCTGTCCCATAGCGTGGGGTTTTAGGAAATAACACTCTTATATCTAACAAGCACTATTTATTAATTAATTACAACATTTAGAATTTAGAATACAAAAGATGCGTCTTAACGCAACGCTAACAGATGAGGAATACAAACTGAAACTTTTAGAGGGAAAGTCCCAATTCGATTGCGTAGGCGTGATAGTTCGTAAACATAGCCTCGAACGGCTAAATACACGACATCTCCTCCCCCTTTAAAATGGAGATTTAAAGGTCAAGTCTCTTAGGGGGCCGTCTAATCCTTTGTGATCGCCTCGGCTGAAATGGAGTTTGATGAGAAGTTGAAGTACTTCTCGGCAAAACAGCTGAACTCGGGTTCTTAGTTGGAGATGGTTGGCGAGTTTCTGGTGTTGATTTGACAGATTCAGAGTGTTTTTGGATATCTCCGCCAGGATCAGTGGGTGCAGGAGAATTATCCGCGGTGCCCATGTGTGGAGTTTCACTGCTGAAACTAATTCGTGGAACGTGAATAGTCTTATCCAAGATCTGGTCTCCTGTTCGCATTTGGTCTACGTGGCGTCTATACAATGTACCTTGCACATTAACTGTGTAATGAAGAGCTCCATCTTTGCTCATAACTGTTCCAAATTTCCACCTTGCGTTGGGTGAACGATAGTCTCGAATAGCCACCTTATCACCTTCGTGAAAAATACGATCTTGAAAATCATACGTGCTTTTTCTGATCTTCTCATTGACTCTTCCGACCAAGTCAGGGAGAACAAGATCTATTCTAGTCCTAATGTCTCTCTTAAGGAAAAGCATAGCCGGACTAATCATAGTTGTCATATTAGGAGCCTTGCGATATTGCATGAGGAAGGTGCTAACCTTTTGCTGGGTATTTCCTGCAAAGTTCTGCATGGCACGGAGAGATTGTTTTAATGTATGCACGTAGCGCTCTGCTTGTCCATTGCTGGATGGTTTGAAAGGGGCGCATGTCTTATGCTTAATGCCATTGCTTCGTATAAATGTTTGGAACTCTTGTGAAGTAAACTGTGTGCCGTTGTCGGAAACTAACACTACAGGTAGTCCAAAACGTGAAAAGCAATCTCGGAGGCATTCAATTGTCTTGAATGAGTTGGCTGTCTTCATGGGGTAAACTTCAAGCCATTTTGAATGTGCGTCAACAATAAGTAGAAACATCCGTTCAAATATAGGTCCTGCGAAATCAATGTGCACTCTTTCCCATGGTGCACTGGGATATTCCCAATGATGAACTTTTGCTTTTGCTGGGTCCGTTTTGAACCTAGCACAGTCCAAACAGTTTTTCGCAGAATT